ATTCTTCTATGATCAATTATTTTTAATAATTTTCGAATTTCTAAAATTTTAACTGAAATTCATTTTTAAATCAATTATTATTAGAAAATTCTACTAGAATTAAATTATTTAAATACAAAAATAACAAGTTATTGAATAATTGCATGTTTCTTAAAATTGAATTCTCATAAAGAATTTTATCTTTAAATTTTTAAATAACTGAATACTCTTGACGAAAATAGTACTTGTATTATTGCGAACAAATTTATAAAAATTTACAAGTAATTGAATTCCTGTGAAATTTTTATTATTTGATTAAAATAATTAAATGTCTGCGTAAATTTTTATCAAATTTTTAAAAAATAATTGAATTCTTTTGAAAAATGTTATTAAAATAATAAATAATGTAATAATAAATATTTAGAGGTAGAAAATTTTTGAAAATAAATGAAATTTTGCCAAGAATTGTAAAAAAATTTTTAAAAATAATTGAATTTCGGAGAAAATGTTTCAATATTTCTAAAGATAATTGAAATTTTGACTAAAATTAAAAAAAAATTTTTTAATGTAATTGAATTTCTGCAAAGAATTTTATTACTTTTGAAAATAATTGAATCAAATAAATTTTTTTTTAGTGGAACAAACAAATTTTATTTTTATTTGAGACAATTTAAATTTGATTGTTAAAAATATTTGCAATAAAAAATCTTTATAAAAGAAAACCACTTTTTTGTGAATACAACACAAATGCACCAAAGTACGAAGGGAAGATATAAAAAAGGGGCTTATACTTTTCCAAATACAAGCAATCTTATAATTTGTTTGACTAAAACCTTGCCATTATTTATTTCAATTATACCTAATTTACAAAAAAATGAATAAAAAATATTGTTTTTAAAAATACTAACAATATACAAATTTTATTCATTTTTTCTTTATTCATCAATTTTCTTTTTTGTTAGGAAAGAAATAGGATAAATTGTACTAAGGGGTCGTCCATATACCACGTGGACAGTTTTTCAAAGATTTTTACCCTCCCCCCTCCCCCTTGTGGACACAAAAATACATGGGATCATGGACATTTTCAAACTTTTTTTACCCCCTCCCTCCTCTCAAAAGTGTCCACGTGGTATATGGACGACCCATAAAGAATATTTTTAAAATATATAATATTATAAAACCTATTAATATTAATTTTAAATAAATTAATGTTTAAAAAAATATTTTTTAAAAAATAATATATTTCAAAAAATTTAACGCCAAAATCGTTATTGTTAATAATACTGGATATTAAGAAAAAAGATAGAATTTTTTTCAGGAAAAAATTACAAGTAGAATAATTTTTCATTGAAAGAATAAATAAATGGGGGGGGAATTAAAAAAATTTATAAATATACACTTAATTAAGCACTAAAATGAACGATTATCCACAAAATATAAAAAATAAACGCAAAATCTAACCTTCAATTTTTGTCTTTACATATAAATTTTCCAACACATTTCAATATGCATCCATAATAAAATCCAATTTCATTTTAGTGTTTGAAAACTAAATTCTTCGGAAATAATCACTATTATCTTTTTTGAATTCTATTTATACTGAAAAACATTAATAATTACAGAGGAAACACATCTACTCCCAGTCATTGACAGGGAAATACTGAAAAAATCAAAATGGCTGCCCAACTATAGCAAAGGCGCCAAAATTCCCGCCAGAAAAAAAAAATTACCGACAGTGAATATAAAAACTAGTCGATAAGTTACCGACAATTTTGCTATTTAGTTTACTTAAGCGCCGCTATCATCAGCGCACTATTAAACAATAAAAAAAACCATTTTCTTTATGAAATAGTAATTAATAATAATAAATGGAAAATTTATAATTATTCACATTATTAATCTTTAGTATTTATTAAAAAAGATTGTAATTTTTTCGTTAAAATTCACAGATAATATTAAAAGAAACAAGATAGAATTTTTACTCCCGTGTGATGACAAGGGAAAATATAATGTTTCATTGAAAGACTAAATAAATATGGAAAAGAATTTAAAAAATGTATAAATATACACTTAATTAAGCACTAAAATGAACGATTATCCACAAAATATAAAAAATAAACGCAAAATCTAACCTTCAATTTTTGTCGTTAAATATAAATTTTCCAACACATTTCAATATACCATCCATAACAAAATCCAATTTCATTTTAGTGTTTGAAAACTAAATTCTTCGGAAATAATCACTATTATCTTTTTTGAATTCTATTTATACTAAAAAACATTAATAATTACAGAGGAAACACATCTACTCCCAGTCATTGACAGGGAAATACTGAAAGAATCAAAATGGCTGCCCAACTATAGCAAAGGCGCCAAAATTCCCGCCAGAAAAAAAAAATACCGACAGTGAATAAAAACTAGACGATAAGTTACCGACAATTTTTTTATTTAGTTTACTTAAGCACCGCTAACATCAGCGCACTATTAATCAATTTAAAAAACAATTTGATTTATGAAATAGTAATTAATAATAATAAATGGAAAATTAATAATTATTCACGCTATTAATATTTAGTATTTATTAAAATAGATTGTAATTTTTTCGTTAAAATTCACAGTTAATAATTAAAAGAAACAAGTTAGAATTTTTACTCCCGTGTGATGACAAGGGAAAATATAATTTTTCATTGATGAAAGACTAAATAAATTGTAAAACTTTACAAACATTTACCTTTTTGTTTAATTTTAAACACTTGATGCAAGTTTACTTACAAGATTCATAACCCGCGGAGAAAAACAAAGAAACAACAAATAAATGAAATAAACATTGAATCTAACCTGTACTTTTTCACGATTAATGTGAATTTTCCAATACATTTCACAATAGACATCCATAATCGTATTTCTTCTCATTTATGTGATTAGAAACTAATAATACTTAATAATGGAACAAAACAATTTATATTCTAATTTCAATTTCAAAAACCTTGATAATTATGAAGAACTTCTCTTCCGTTCACTGTCATGGAAGGACTGACAAAATTAAAATGGCTGCCCATAAGTTACCGACAATTTTGTCAGTTAGTTCACTGTGAGCGGCGCTGTTAGCAGCGCGGTAAATTCAAATTCTTTATCTAGTAACTTTTTTTTATTTTTATTTTTCTATTATTAATACAATTAATTATTAATATTAATTAATGTTATTATTAATTTATATTATTATTAATTTATTAAAATTTATTGAAAATAAATAATAATAACATCTAATTATTAATAATTAAGATTAAATTACTTATTATTAAATTAATTACAGAAAATATAAAGATGAGTTTCTTCGTTAGTCGCTATTCAATAATAATTAAGTCTCGTATTATAAAAAATGTTAATTTTTGAAAATAATTAAATTTATGCACTTAATTTTAAAGTTATTGAATTATTTTATATTTTTAATTTAATTTTCTTAAAGTTTGCAATTTTTTATTTAATTACAGTTGAATTATAATATTACAATTATAATAACGAAATGAATTATTGAGTTAAAAAATTTAAATCAAATTTAATTGAATTAAAATTTAGAAAACAAAGAAATGAACAAAAAATAAATTTAATCTAAAATCACTACTGAATTTCACTGTGAATGAACTTTAAATTAATTAATGAATTATAATATTATAAATAATAATAATATTATTATAATGAAATTAATGAATTATAATAATAAAATTAATTAATAAATTAATTAATTTTAAGTACAAATTTAATTTTATATTCTTTTTTTTATTAATAATTAAATGTAATAATTTGTGTAATAATATTAAAGTTATTTTGAATCATTTCATAATCAAAATTTTAAAAAATCACTTATTAAGTAAATAATTAATTATTATTGTTTAAATTTTTAAAAGAATTAAATTATTTTCTAAAATTTTAATAAATCCACTGAAACAATTCAATAATTTTTTTAAATAGTAAAGTCTTTGCAAAAATTCAATTATTTTTAATTATTTTAATTGTTTCCTTCTCGTTTCCTTCTAATCTGGTTATAAAAAATCTTTTCTTTTGTTAAATTCCTTAAAAAATATTCAAATATATTCTTTAAAACTTAAAAAAATTCAATTATATTCTTTAAAACTTAAAAAATTTCAATTATAATTCCAAAATTCAATTTTTTTAAAAAATTGAATTGAATTTAATAATTAAAATAATTCTAAAATTGAAATAATTTCGAAAAGTTTAATTATTTCTCAAATTTTATGTAAAATTTATTTTAAAAATTCAATTATTTTCAAAATTTTAAAGAAATTTATTGTTAAATATTATAATTTTCAATAAAAATTAGAAAATGATACAATTTGTTTATAAAAATTTAATTAAATGTAATTTTTTTTAATAAAATTCTTGAAAAATTAAATTATTTTTTATAGGATTTGAAAACTAATTTTTCAGAATTTTAAATACATTTTCTTTAAAGAATTCTCAACTATATTAAAAAATGTTGATTAAATTCTTCGCAAAATTTCAATTATTTTTTAGAAATAATAAAATTCTTTTAAGGAATTCAATTATTTTCATTAATAATAACATTCTTTGGAGGAATTTAATTATTTTTAATTCAATTTTAATAAAATTTCTCGAAAGAATACAATTATTTTAAAACTGTTTTAATAATAATTTTAAAATTAAAAATATTTAAAAAGAAAAATTATTAAAAAAATGTTAGGAAACAAAAAAGCAAATAACTAACTTCAAACTGCGAACAGATTACCAGAATACAATAACGATTATTAATATAGATTAAAAAATCAAAATTTAATTTAAAATCATTCAAAATTAAACTAAAAAATAATTACTTAAATTTATTCTGAATAAAGTTGGTTTTAATTTAAATAAATATGAATATACATATTTAATAAATATATTAAATATTGTAAATTATAGAAGAAATTAATAAAATTCTTCTATACATTTAAAATAATGATTGTTTGAAGTATATAATTTAAAAAATAAAGTACCTTCATGAATTTGTAGAAGAGTTTTTTTATTTTATGTATGATAATAAATTTACAAGAAGGTTTTAGGAGATACTGCTGGCATTTGATGCAATTCTTGGCCACAAATCCGCACACTCCTTAGCAACTGGTCCTGTAATAGCGGAGCCTTTCATTTCTCCTTTATTATTGACAATCACACCTGCATTGTCTTCAAAATATATAAAGACCCCGTCCTTCCTGCGGAACGGCTTTCGTTGCCGAATTACCACCGCTGGCATAACTGTGGAAAAAAAGGAAAAAATAAGTTTCTCGATTAATAAAGTTCTTATAAATATAATTCGGAAAAAACCTCACATATGCTATTCATTATTATTTTATTCTTTTAGTATTTTTTTTATTATTTATTTTTCTCTACTTATACAGAAAAGATTCTGTATTTATCATAAAGAAAAATAAATAAAAATTTCCCTTAAGATATTTCAAATTTTCTAAAAAATTGTTTTATAAATAAATTAAATTTGGAAATTTTTGTATAAAAATGATGCAAATTATTATTTTTTTTTTAAAGAACCGAATAGGTTGATCATGCTAAAAAAAACTATTGTTATTCAATTTTTTTATAATATGGAAATTCAATTATTTATTTTTCCAACTAATTTCAAATTATAATTTTATCATAATTTTTTTGTATTTACTACTTTTTATTTTAAAAAATTATGATTTGAAATTAGTTAGAAAAATAAACAAGTAAATTTTAATATAAAAAAATATTTTTTCAGCATTTTCAACCTAAAAACAATGTTTTTTTTTCAAAAAAATGCTTCAAAAATAATAAAAATCATTTTTTTTCATTCAGCAATTTTTTTGTGAATGCAAAAACATATTTTCTACAAAATTACGGATGGATTTACAAAATCTATAAATTTTTAAGAAAAATAAAAATTCAAAAAGGGACAGAATACGTTTTGACCAATAACTTCCTCTTTAAAAATTATTAGGAAATAAAAAAATTTTCCTATAAAAATATTTTCTTGGAAGATTTTAATCATTTTCTTAATATAGTTAAAAATTTTGTCGAAATCTCCCCTTAATGGCTCAGAAATAATTAAGATTTTTAAGTTTCAAGAAACTAAAATTTCTTTTTTTTAAGCCCAATTAAAAATTGTTTTATTTCTTAAAAATAAGGAGAAAAAGAGGAAAAAATATATGATTTCAGGTGTTTCAAGGGAATTTTATAATTTAAGGGAATAAAAAAGAGAATTATGTAAAAAATGGGTGATCCCTGTAATTAAATTATTCTAATAAAATGAAAAAAATTGACTTTTATAACAAAATTTTGTTAAATTTTCTTAAAATAATTTTTTTTTCTCCTTACCCTTTTTTCTTAGTTCAGGCTTTCCTTTTTTGACAGTTGCAACAATCATATCGCCAGAACCTGCAGCAGGCAAACGGTTCAAACGACCTTTAATTCCTTGAACTGCGATGACATAAAGGTTCTTTGCACCTAAAAGAAGAGGAAAAAATTACTATTCTAGTCCTTTCTTTAATTATTATTAATAGAAATAATTATTTTAAGAACCAATAATTATATCTCATAAAAAATCAATTTTTAACGCAAAATCTTAAAATTTCTACAATTTTTTTTTGTTTAATTACTGTAAGAAAAAAGCATAAATTTTCGTGCGTTAAAAGTAATAAAATTTTCGAAAATAAAGTTACAAAATAGGAAAATTATTAACACTAGTAAATTTTCTTTAAATATACATTCTACAATATTGTAATTATGTAAATTTAACGATTTCCCGAAATAAAAAATAAATTTATTCACTTATTCAATTCTTTAAAATAATTTGTTTATCCCAATAACAAAAAAAAAATTGTCAACAAAAAGAGCAAAATTATTTTGAATATTAAAATTAGTACAAAAAATTGAATTTTTCCTTCAAAATAATCAAAAATAATTATTAAAATTTTTATTACAGAAAAGAAAATTTAGAAGGGAACAATGTGTCATTCTATTTTTGAGGTTATGTTTTGGGGAATCGTTAAACATTTTTTTGCCAAAGAACACAAAACTTACCTGTATTATCTGCACAATTGATAACGGCTCCCACGGGTAAACCAAGGGATATCCTGAATTTGGCTCCTGCGGAACCTCCACGACCTTAATCGAGAAAAAATTTGTTTGATTATTGATAAACATTTCTGGCAAAGAATCACACTCAGTTAACACATTCATTTTTCGTCGACTTTAATTAAACACTGATACAATAACTTTATGAATAAAGAATATGTAATTATTAAACTTGTATTATTCGGTTTTAATTTCACTGGATGAATTATTAATGTCGAGATTTCGATGGATTAAAATCACATAAGTAAAACCTACCTCTCTTCGACATGGTGGCGACTTTTGAAAGAAAAAGAAGATGCTTTTCAGTGATCACAGAGCATTCGTTTTTGCGCACGTCACGTGTCACTTCCGGTCACAGAGTACACTCTATTTCCGTTTGCGGTAAAATCATCGAGTTTTCAAAATTTTTCACGTCAATTTACAATTTTTGATATTAAAAAAAAGATTTAATTTTCATTACCATGTTTTGTCAAAATTTTAGTGTGACAAAATTGTTTCAAAATGGAATTTTTAATGAAATGTTTTCGTCTTTGGAAAAACAGGTTAGAATCGGTTTTTGCAATTTTTCTTGTTAGATTCTTAATTTCTAAATATTCTTGTATTATAGCAAATTTTACAACATTTTTTCTGTTATAAAAATTACTTTGACTTAAGTGCTAAAACATTGACATTCGTGCTTTTTTTGCGAAAAACACCTGAATGTTGATTACGATAAAATTATATATAATAAATAATTATTAACTATTTAGATCGATGCTAAAAACATTCTTCAAGAAACTTACAATACCTGGTGTGGAGAATTTTCGCTTTTTTGTGGTAATTTTTTGATACCTATAAATTTTTGGTCATCGGACTTTTTTCAACGTTAATTATTCGAAATTTACTTTCTTATTGACTAGAAGTATTAAAATTACTCATTATTTAAAAAAAACTGTTAACAGAAGTTGTTTTTTTAACGGAAGTTCTTGAGATTGCTTCCTTGCGTGCTTCCAAAATCTTTTGTGCTGCTTTTGCACCTAACCTAATCTTACTCGGATTCCAAAATGGCGACTGCGCAACGCTGATTGGCTGCTTATTAGCGCGCACATTTGAAACGCAATATGACGTTTTTTAGCTTTTCTCTCAAAAATATTTTTACAAATTCAACTAAATATTACTTTAATTGTCAAAATTACCACTTTTGATCAAATTTATAGTATTCTTTGTAGAGAAAATAGTCAATTTTTGTAAAAATCGATAAAAATGGTAAATTCTATTAAATATTCCTGGGAGGAATGTAACCAATCACGATATTCTTCATTGCACACGCGCAGTAAGTTGAAGATTTTGGAATTACTTTTTGACATTTTGTCGTCTGCTAAAACGTAAAAACCGAAAGAAAATTTTGTTAAAAAACAATTTTTAAGAATGTAATTGCGGCAAATTAGTAAACAAACTTAATAATAGTAAATAACAATTAAGACACAAAATTCGACAAAATCATCATTGACCACAAACAAATGTCTGTTTTTAATTTCAACAAGGCTTGATTTTTATATATTTTTATATAAAAAATACACTAATTATTTTTGTTTATTAAATAAATTTACAAACATGCCTAAAGTACTGTTGACAGAAACAATTTCCATGGAACTTGGTGGTAATTATAAATATATATATTTAAGTTTTAATTTCAGAAAATTATTTTTGTTTTTTTCGAAAGATTTTTTATTTCCAAAAAAAGTATAGTTTTTTTCTAACCTCACTTTTTATTTGTTTTTCAAAAGCACATTTTATTTTAATAAAATAGAAAAGAAAATACAGGGTTTCCACAGGTCAGGGAAATCAGGGAATTAATTTTTTTTTTCAATGAAATCCTGTGAAGAATTAGATTATTTATTAAAATAATTGAATTCTTGCAACGAATTTTATTACATTTTTTTTTTAAATAATTGAATTCTTTTGAGAAATTTTATTAAGAAAGTAGATTTTTTGAAAATATTTGAATTTCAGCGAAGAATTTCATTATTTGTAAAATGTAATTGAATTCTTGTAAAAATAATTGATTTCTTGCACAGAGTTTTATTAAAATTTTTGTAAATAATTTAATTTTTTCTGACAAATTTTATGGAAGTTTAAATTATTATAAAACATATTCTTATTATTTAGTTGTTGAATTTTATTAAAGGTTTGAATTTGAAATTTTTTTAAAGAAAATCAAAAATAATTTTGTTAGGGGAAAAAAAATTAATTTTATCTGTCAACTTAAAAATATATTTTTAAACTCACTATTTTGTGCTGTTTTCAAAAACTCTTTTTCTATTTCAACAAAATAATATTATTTTTCTCTTTTGAAAATAATTAATGGTGGTAAAAAAATAGAACGGTAAATATTAATTAATTTTTAATTTATTAATTCCAGCACAAGATCCATGGCCGCAACTGATAAAAATGTATCAACCATACGAGGTGGAGCAAATTTTATTACCAGACAATTCAAATTGTCTCGCAGTGCAGGCTTATTTGAAAATGTGTAATTTAGAATTTCAAGTTGAGCCAAGAAGAAATGCGGAATATATGTCGCCATCGGGACGTGTTCCTTTCATACAATGCGGTGCATTTGTCGTCTCGGATTTCAATGGAATTGTAAATTTTATCAATTCAAAGGGCACGAGTCTATCGGAGGAATTGGAGGCAACCGACAAGGCTGATATGAGAGCGTATATTTCATTAGTTAATGATGTTCTCGTGAATGCGGAACAATATATTTGTTGGTGTGAACCAAAGACTTTGAACAATATTACAAAACCAAGATACGGCAGTGTCTATCCATGGCCATTGAATTACATTCTAAATTGGCAAAAACAATCGCAAATAACAAAGAAACTCAAAGTATTGGGCTGGTATAATAAAACACTCGATGAAGTACTGGAGGAAGTGAAAAATTGCTGTGACGCCCTGTCTGAACGACTTGAAAGTAAAACGTATTTTTTCGGCGAAAGGTAAAGAATTTTCCTTTTTTTTCCATCTTCCTTTTTCTTTTATTGTCTTAATTTTTTTTTCTACATTAATTTTTCTCCTTTTCTTCAATTTCCCTTTTTTTTCTATATAAAGTTTATTCTCTCTCTTTAAAGGCCAACGGAATTGGACGCATTGGTTTATGGACATATAAAAACACTGACAAATACTGAATTCCTTCCCACTATTGAATGCATTTCAAATCTAATTAAACAATATCCATTAATTATGAAGCACAATCGACATATAAATGAAAATTATTTTCATCCAAGAAAATCATTAAGTGAAGATTTCGAAGTAATTGGCAATTTTTTTGAAGATTCATGGAAATTTTCCTACTCTGACGAATCCATTTTCTCATCCACACAACGTGATTCATCATTATTCATTCACAATCCAAATTCCTCGACGAATGTGAATTAAAAATTGGTTAATTTTGAAAAAATATCTGCATGTAATTCTTTCACTTCATAAGACATATTTTCTTCGATTACTTTTTATTTTAATACTCTACTTTTTAATCCTTTTACGTATTTTTTTATAAATTAAAAACTAGGTAAATAAAACATTCACACAATGATTTTAATACTTTAAAGTATTAATAATTAATAAACATTAATGTTTATTAACATTTTCCGAATATAATCCATTTTATTTAGCTTGTTTTTTAATAAAAAATTCTCGGAAGTAAAATACTAATATGTATAATAAATTAATCTTTATATTAATTCTTGTTTTTTTTTTAATTCCTCAGGCCGAACGAATTGGACGCCCTGGTGTTTGGACACATGTTTACAATTATCACAACATCGTTACCGGATAATTTATTGGCGAATATCATTAACAAATACCCGACTCTTGTCACATTTTGCAAGCGCATCGAAAATAGGTATTTTACGCCCAAGACAGATTAGAATTAAAAAATTGAATTCAATTATCATCATCGATTTAAATAGTAAAATTGATTTATTTTGTATAATTTAGAATATATTGTTAAATTATATCTGCATGTTGAAAATACAAATATTATTATTATTATTATAATGTTTTGAAATTAAATTTTTCAGCATTTTTTATTCGCAAGCGATAGATGATATTAAACAAATTGAAACAGAAAATTGGGGACGAGTATTAAGTACTTAATACTTTTTAGAAAGAAACTTTTCAGTTTCCAAGTGTCGACTGCAACTCTGTAAAAATGTACCTGTTCAATTACTACCTCAGATCATGTGATACAATCAACTGAGCTCATGATCGAAAAAAAAGTTTGAAATCTTTTTTTTTAGATTCAAATCAAATCACTTTTTTTTTAATATTTATTTTTAATTTAGAAACTCAATTTTTATTTATCTTTTTTTATTTTCAATTTTTACTCTTTTTTTTTTTGAATAAAGAAAATTTATCAAATCAACAGAAAGAGAATTTTCTTTCAATGCATACTTTTTTTAAATTTATGACAATAAAAGATACTTTTCTCTTTATTTTTGGGGGAAATTTGCATCACTTTACATTCGCTAATAGTTAAAAAAAACAATTCTAAAAATAGTAATAAAATTTTTTTAACGATTCAATTATTCTCAAAAACTTTTCGAAACTTAATTATTTTCAATATCTATACAATTTTAATAAAATTCCACAAAAAATTTTTGATAAAATTCTTCACAAACATTCAATATTTTTATAAGTAATAAAATTTTCACAGGAATTGAATTCTTTAAAATATTTCATAAAATTTTCCCGAAAAAAAATCAATTTAATCAATCAATCAATTTAAAAACTTTTTATAAAATTCTATTGCAAGAATTCAATTATTTTCACAAACAATAATAATTTTCAGGAAAATTCAATTATTTATAAAAATTTTAATAAAATTCAAGGCAAGAATACAATTATTTTCGCAAAAATAATAAAAAAAAAATGCTTCTCAAGAATTCAATTACCTAATTTAAAATTTTTTAATAAAATTCTTCACAAGAATTCAATTATTTTCCCAAATAATTCAATTATTTAGAAAGAATTAAATATAATTCTTCGCAAGAATTCAATTATTTTGATAAATAATAACATTCTTCTCAGAAATTCAATTATTTTGCAAAAAATTGATAAATTCTTTATTTAATTCTTGAGAATTGTTCAATTATTTTCCGAAATAATAGAATTTTTCACGAGAATTCAATTATTTTCATAAATAATAAAATTCTTCTCAAAAATTAAATTATTTTTTAAAAAATTTATAAATGTTTTGTAAAAATTCAATTAGTTTTATAAATAGTAATATTCTTCGCAGAAATCCAAAATAATAAAATTTTCATAGGAATTCAATTATTTAAGATACAATTTTCATAAAATTTTTAAACAAATTCAATTATTTTCTAAAATTTTAATTAAATTCGTCGACAAAATTTGTAAAAATTCAATTATTTTCATAAATAACAGAATTCTTCTCAGAAATTAAATTTTTTTTTTAAAAATGGATAAATTCTTTATAAGAATTAATTTTTAAGAAACATTCAATTATTTAATATATTATTTATTTTTGTATACTTGAATTTCAGTTGAACTTTCTAATAAGAATTGAATTAAAAACGAATTTAGTTGAAATTTTAGATAATTTGAATATTAAAAGCGTTATTACATCATTTTATTTGTTATTTGTTTACTTTTAAAAATTACTTTTAATTATTTTTTAGGATTTTTTTAGGAAGTATTTTTTAGTATTTTTTAGGAAAAAACTTTGGAAAATAATTTTTAAATTAATTATTGAGTGTGAAGCCTGCACCTGAGAAATAATTTTCATAAACCGGGGATTTTTTTTAAACCTATCAATTAAATAAGACAGTTATTATTTCGAACATTTATTTTATGTCTTTTACAATTTTCTCAGTCGTAACAATTTTTCGAACTTGTTAAGTTTTTTAATTCCAATTTTTCAAATCCAAAACCTGACTGGCGATATAAATTTTATATTCGAAAATACATGATTTTCGGGAATTTAATATCGCACAATTTTGGAAATTTTATTCCAAAAAGACTGTGTGTTAAAGAATAAATTTTTTTTAATTTAGAAAAGAAAGTTTCGTCTAGATTTTAATTTTTAAATTAAATCAAAAAAGTGAAAAAGTTAAAAAAAAAATTCAACATCGAATTCTATCCTAGAAAATTTTTTTTTTGAAAATACATTTTTAATGTCAGGATACTTTTTCTTTTTTCGTCTTTTTTTTGGAAGACACTCTGAAAATATTTACATTTCTTTCCTATTTTCAGAGGAACATTTCAATTGTCCCGAATTTAAATTTACTTTCCTAATTACTTTTAATTACAAAATATAAATTTATCCCTTGCGTGTTTTTTTTTTCTTCTCCATAGGGAAAAAAAATTTTTTTTTCCAACATTATAAATTTCTTTATACCTATTAAAATTAAAAATAACGTGAATTTCAATTTTCAACAATATTTACAAATATTTTTTTTTCTCTTTGCAAATAACGCGAAATCGAAAAACACGAAAGGGATTTTTATTTATTTTCTCTTTTATAAAATCTCTGTCCTTCGATTGTTACACATTAAGCTCGAATTTTCTTGAGACTAAAATTAGTCGAACAATACGAAAATAGAAATTTAAAATTATTTTCGTATTATTCATAGAGTAAAATTGTTTTTTTTCTTGTAATTTAACTTTAGGAGGGTTAATGAAAAAATAAAATGCAAAAGAATATTCAATGAAAAAATAGAAAGTATATTGAAAAAAACCGGATTCAAAGTAAATTATAGTAACAGAAAAATTCACATTTTTTTTTAGATTTTTTTTCAAAAAATCAAATATGTTTCTGCTTTTTAAGCGCAAGTTTCGAATTTTTTTTTTACAACTACATTTACGATTTTATAACATCTGCGATGTATGTACATGACAAGTTTATAAATATTCTCTAATTAATGTGCTCTAAACAGGTGTAACATCTACAACGATATTTTTTTTGTTTTCTATTTTACTGATCTTTAAGATTAACAATCATAAATTAAAGAAAAAACAATTATTTCTTTTCATCGTTTTTTGGAATGGAAAATTTTTTCTAAATTTCCAAAATGCGGTGAAATTTTTCTTTTTTGAAAACAATTCTTTAGTTCGTGATTGTATCTCTGAATTTGAAGAATCTTAATTATTTTAGTTATAAAAAAACCATAGGAAAATGCAGAATTTCTTTTACTTTTCGAAGACAAGTTTTTATCATTGACCGAAAACAATTTTGAATTTTATTCAATTTTCTTTTGTATATAATAGTCGTCAATGAATTTGTCTATCGAATTTTGTACAAATTTTACTATAACTATGTTTTTTTTGTGATTATGAACTTCTATCTATGATTTAAGCAATTTTACACCTTTACATATATAGCAAGAAAAAATATTTATCTGAATTTTTTTTTTGCAATTTTAACTTCAGATGAATATTTTTACTTAAGTAGGTATTTTGCAATTCTTTTTTTTTATCTTTATTTTTGAAGTTATTACTTTTGTATATGTATTATTATTTTTTATGTTTAACTGTTTATAGTGTATGGCATATTTCTTGTCTGTTTCTCTTATTTTTGAGACTATATAAATGTATATATAGAATCCATTATATTTTATAATTATATTTCATTATCTATTTTTATTTTTAGAGAAAAAATGCGGGGGAAAAAATTTATTTATCTAAAATTGGACCTATTTTCAGAATAAAAAGCTTTCATTATTGAAATTATTCCCTTTTCTCTAAATTATAATTTTTCTTTTTTTGGAAAAAATGGAAATTATCCTAAATACTACTTCTCTTTGTTATTATTTTGATTATAGAGATATTTTATTTTTTAATAAACGGAATTCTCAAGAGAGCACAAATTTGTGCGTGACGGCAAATTGACATAGAAATAAAAAGAGAGAATTTAATTTGCGCGTGATATTTGTGGAAAAAATTCTATTTTGCGCTTTCTGGTTTAGGTTTTTCTTTTATTCTATTCTATGAGAATTAATCGAATTAATCGATTAACATTCAACTTTATAAAATTGAAATAAAATGTCATTCGCTCGCTATTTTTACTCGAATTTGTGCATTTAATTAAAGAAATCAAAGTGTTTCAGTTCTGATTGAAGAAAAACTTTCTAAAATTAATAAGTAAAGAGTAAATAATTTAATTGACACTCACAGATCTTTTAATATAATTTAAAAATAAAATATTTAATTAAATCAAATTTTAAAAAATTATTCAAATATTTTGACTATTTTTATTTTATTTCTTTTTTTTTGCAAATATTTTTAATACTGATTATTTTGTGTTTGCGAAATCGTATGAATTTGATAAATCGAATACCTAATTGAATGAAAGATTTTAAATCTTTAAATTAAAATTTTATTCGATTATATAAAATAAAAATAAAACTTTCGTATAGTTATAACTGATTTCTATTTAAAATTTGTGACTTTTTTGCTAAAATTAATTATAAATTGATCTTTTTTTTATAGTATTCTTGGCGAGACTACTAAGCAGAAAAAATGTCTTTCTATAAAATACTTAATATTTCTAAATATAAAAAGAAGCTTTTAAAATGTACTTAAAAAAAACATGTATATGCTGCTTATTTCGGAAGCTTTAAAGAACATGTCGCTCTGTTATATTCTTTGACGATTAGTCAAAATTTACGTAAATTTATTTTTAAATTTAATGATATTTTACTATTTTCACGGAGGTGCTTTTCTCAAGGAATTATAAATAATTCTCTATTTTTTTTTGTTTTAAAATAAAAACAATATTTCAATGCCTGAGAAACAAAAACCAGTTTGTCTCAGGAGAACTTGAGTCATGGAACTTAAAAACATTATTTCCTTTTGGAAGCTCACCTCGCATGTAACATTTTTTTCTTTTTAATATTGCGATTAAAGCGTATGAAATATTTCTTGCTAAAAGCCTTGGGACAATGATAGAATTTAATTTTTTTTTGTTTCAGCAAACTAGGAAAATGGAAAAATTTTCTTTTTCTTTTTCTCACGAAAATGCTTTTAGAAAGAAATATTTACATTCCTCGGAGTGGAGAATAATTCTATGCTTATTCTACTTTACCATTAAATGACCAACAATCGCTTTTAAATTGATAGGTAAATACTCTTCTCTCATCAGTTGTGGCAAATTTAATTATTTTCTTTAAGAAATAATTTCACTTTAAAGTTAATCTGGTGGTAGAAAACTGAAAAGACGAAATTGATCTCTAATGTGCGGTCTTACGTCTCCACCCTAGAAGAAAAAAATAATTTTTTACCAAATGTAACTAAAATAAACCAACAACTATAAAATCTTCTAAAATTGAAAACAAAAGATTCACTCACCCAATGAACCAGATTTTCTAAAAACGGCAAAAGTTTCATTAGTTCGTTATCAGAACGATCAGCAAACCAACTTTCAATCGGTATTCCATTTTCCAACTGTAATTGAAGTGAAATTTTAGTAAACGTATACATTTTTTTCTTTAAGTATAATTATTTTATTTATTGAAAATAGCCAAAATTACGCGCGCAAAACGTCACGTTCAATTTATTATTATTATGCAAATTATAACATTTTTTATTTTCAAATATAAATTTTTGAATAATTTCACAATCAAAATTTAAATATTCACTTATTAAGTAGACACATAATTAATTATTATTGTTTGTATTTTCAAAAATTTGAATATAATTCATCGGAAGAATTCAATTATTTTCATAAATAATAACATTCTTCGAAAGAATTCAATTATGTTTATAAATAATAAATTTTTTTGCTAAAATTCAATTATTTTCAACAAAAGTTTTAAAAAATCTTTCGAAACAATTTAATTGTTTTTTTAAATAGTAAAATCTTTGGAAAAATAGACGACTCCCGTTGATATGATCTTCTTTCAATTGTCAAAATAATAACATTTTTCAAAGGATTTCAATTATATTCAAAAATTTTATTAAAATTCTTCCTAAAAATTCAATTATCTTCATAAAAAGTAAAATTCTTCGAAGGATTTTAATTATTTTTTAAAATAATAAAATTTTTCGGGGGATTTCAATTATTTTCAAAAATTTTAATAATATTCTTCACAAGAATTCAATTATAATCCTAAGAAATAAAATTCATTTTAAGATTTCAATTATTTTCATTGCTAATAAAATTCCTCGCAGGATTTCAATTATTTTCAAAAATCTGAAACAAATTCTTGTCAAAAATTCAATTTTTTTCATAAATAATTTAATTTTTCAGAGGATTTCAATTATTTTCAAAAATATGAAACAAATTCTTGTCAAGAATTCAATTTTTCTCATAAATAATTGAATTCTTCGGAGGATTTTAATTATGTTCAAAAATTTTAATAAAATTCTTCCTAAAAATTTAATTATCTTCATAAAAAGTAAAATTCTTTGCAAGATTTCAATTATTTTCATAAATAATAAAATTTTTCAAAGAATTTCAATTATTTTCAAAAATTTTAATAAAATTCTTTGCAAGAATTCAATTATCATCATAAAAGATAAAATTCCTTGGATGATTTCAATTATTTTCATTGATAATAAAATTCTTCGCAGGAATTTAATTATTTTCAAAAATTTTAAATAAATTCTTGTCAAGAATTCAATTTTTTTCATAATTAATTGAATTCTTTGGAGGATTTCAATTATTTTCAAAAATTTTAAACAAACTCTTGTCAAGAATTTAAATTTTTTCATAAATAATTGAATTTTGCGGAGGATTTCAATTATTTTCAAAAATTTCAAACAATTTCTTGTCAAAAATTCAATTTTTTCATAAATAATTGAATTCTTCGGAGGATTTCAGTTATGTTAAAAAATTTTAATAAAATTCTTCCTAAAAATTTAATTATTTTCATAAAAAATAAAATTCTTTGGAAGATTTCAATTATTTTCATTGATAATAAAATTCTTCGCAGGATTTTAATTATTTTCAAAAATTTGAAATAAATTCTTGACAAGAATTTATTATTAATTATCTTCATAAAAAGTAAAATTCTTTTGAAGTTTTCAATTATTCATTAAGAATGTTAAGAAACATGATTATTTTAAAAACTTGAAAGAAATTATTCATAAAATTAAATTACTTTAAGAATTTCCAATTAAAATTATTAAAGAAACTCTATTGTTTAAACAAAAATTAAACGAAATTCTTTAAAAGAATTTTGAATTCAAGAATTCAATGATTTTTAATATATTAATTTTAAAATTAAAAATATTTGAAAAGAAAAAGGATTAAAAAAAAGTTAGGAACCAAAAAAGCAAACAACTAACTTCAAACTGCGAACAAATTACCGAAATACGATTATTAATATAATAGATATTTACTTGATAGCCAAAGGCTTGTGGACTATTATCGATGATCACAGTTTTGGATAAGTCTCTTCCAAGAATTGACAAATCCTTGATGTAGTTACCATTAACGCATACGCAGTGCTCTCGGAATAGACGATATTTAATTAATTTTCTTGTTGGATCAAGGAGATTCATTAATTTATTAGCGTAGACTCGTTTACTCGCTGTAAATAAAATCACCTCGTAAAGTGATGAAACGTGTTCTAAAAATTCACGAAAAAATGGTCGAGTTCTCACGAAAACCGTATACGTGACATCTTGAAATACAACCGGAAAGCGGAATGCCGCGTCGGTGAGTTCCTGTAAACTGCAGTGAACGAGAGTTTCATCCTGAAAAAAAAGAAAAGATTAACGAATTATGAAAATAGAAAGAATTCTTCTACAATGAGGAAGAAATAAAAAGAAGAAAAAATAATTTTTGTAATTACCAAGTCCAAAACTAAACTGAATTCGGGACTACTTCGTGTTTTAAGCGGAAGAGCGGGACATCGTGCTCGCATTGCCGGTGTGAGTGGTGGTAAATGCTTAATGAATACATAAGGATCAAATGGCTCCCAATCGTCTTGAACGTGTGTCACCATTGTATCGACATCACAACTCTCGACAATTTCCTCACCTCCAACTTCAATGTATTTCACATCATTATATTCACCCTCAATTTCCTCGTTACTATATCTTTCATCGCAATTTGTATCAGACGTATGATTCGTATTAACTGAATAGATACTTTGTACACTGCTGTATTTTGAGCTCGAATACATGGTAGACTCATATTTAGAAGACTCACTTTCAACTTGCTTTTCACTATTATTGCTCTCATTATTATTGATAAAGGAAAACTTGGAATTTGGATAGTATCTTTCATTTGAGAAAGATGAACGATTATTGTAAATTGATGACGAATGCATTACACTGTAATATTCCTCGGAAGTTTCGTTTGTTGAGCATACTGCTGAATAATGTAACGAAAGAATGTCTGTAAAAAGGAAAAGATTATTTATTTTTAAAATAAATTATTTAATTTAATTAAATAATTTTTAAAATAAATAATTAAAATTCTTTTACGCAGAAGAAAAAATGTAATCATTTTACCATTTGTTCTATTTCCCTCTTCGTCGAGAAGATAAGAAAGATCGGGATGTGGTCCTTCGGTTGGCGACGGCATTAGCTCGGTCAATGATAGACCGTTGGAAGAAATTTTATTATCCTGAGAAGCGGCTGAATTCACTGATTCTGTAACACTTAATGGTGTAGGATAAACTGATAGTGTCGATAAACTCCAATTTTCCTTCGATTCATCGGCTGGTTTTGATACTTTTGCTGACTTTGAAGGCTGAAACACATTTTTTTTTAAATTAATTAATTTCGATTGATGGGGAAAAATTAAGGAAGAATATTGAATTCAAAGAAAGAAACTCACAATGGTTACATCTTTAGGTGCAGAACGATGTAACGGCGTTGAAGTGACCATTGATCTTTTGATGCATTTTCGACGACGTGGTCCGCGCTCACGTCTTATTGGTGCGGCTTTAGCAAAATGTAAAACGTTTTCCTTACAAGCCTGTTGAAGAAAAAAGACAATGAGTATAGAAAAACAGAAGATATAATAAATGAATATAACTTCTATCAAGTTTCCTTTATGGAATTCATTTTTGAATTAAATTGTCTGTCAAAAAAAAAATCAGAGATGCCATACATAAAATTAATTTTGTTTTTCCCTAATTTCCAGAAAAAAAATTTGTCTTCTTCCCTGACACTAAAGAATATTCTGATTCACTCCAAAAAATTATTAGATACTTAAAAAAATGTTCTATTAATTTATTTACAAATTTCTTTAAAAGTAAAATTATTCGAAACCATCAATAACTTTTTTTTTTAAATAAATATTTAACTCCAAAATTCAGAATTTTCTTATGAATTCTAAAAATTAAATTTTTTCCACTACTTTTAATGAAAATTTCTGACTTTTCCCTGATTTCCTTAAACAATTTCCATTTCCCTGACCTGTAGCAACCCTGAAAATATTGGGAAAAAAATTATTCTCTTCGAACCTCCTTGAGAAAATTTGGTGAACGTCGCCTCCAACGTGACAATCTACCGCATCTACTTGAAGTATTAACACGCTGACTACTATTGTTGATAGCCGGTACTTTTCTCACCGTTCCCGATTGAACTCGTCTTCCAGAAACCTTTGCACCTTGCACACTATTGGTGCCTAAACGGCCCCGCAGCCTTCGACTCACATGCTCACTTCTTAACCACATTTCAATATACTTCTATTATATTTCCTGAAAAAGAAAATTCATCAATTAAATTCTTTTCAAAATCCCAAATACGGATAAAAATTACGATATATTCCATATCGTACATTTATTATTTTCCGTTTTTCTCATTTTTTTTTCTTGAAATAAAAAGAAAGTGTAAAAAAAATGTTAACAGTTTGCTTAAAAATGGTAAAAATTCAAAATAGAGAATATGACCAGTCCAGTAAGCAAGAAAATCGAGTCAGTGGCATTCTATCTTTAGCAAATAACCATTACACATGAGTAAGGTGAATACGATACAGAAAACTCCAAAAATAAACACCACTAAAATATATCGAATAAATATATTTCCTGAATTATGAATTAGTACATTTTTTTCATTATAAACAACATTTCCTTTTTATTCCAAAAAGTCACACTAAATGTACAAATAAAGGAAATAATTGCAAACTATGTTATTTTGCCAAATTATCCAAAAAGGAAAAAATAATACATAAATGGAAAAAAAATGAATTATAAAACAAAAAAAAAGGAATTCGAAAACTTGATGTTTATAAACGAAGAGAAACGTTACCTGACAAAAAAACACGCCTACATTGTATAGAATCAAAATAAAATGCAAAATTTCAAGAGAAAAAAGAAGGAAAATGAAAAAATTTGCGCGGGAAAATAATTTTGATCTTTTAAAGAGTAAAAAAGGGGCGTATCAGTTTTCCATGATTGTTGTATACACAACAACACCGCGAGAAATCATTTGTTTGTGTTGGTTTATGAGTGTGTATATATCGATTTGTTTTACGATGCCTCCAAGCCGCTCTGTGCGAACGTTTTTACGAGAGAGAGAGAGAGAGAGAGAAAGACGAACGAGAGACACAGAGACAGAGAACAATTGCTATCATGCATTATGAACGAAACGCACGAATTATGTCATAATTGTTACAAAAAATAATAATAATTAATCGATAAAAAAAAAATTAATATTCAATTAATAAAAAGAAGGGGAAAAAAAATTAGGTCGATTAGGTTTGGCGGTCTCCGGCGAGAGACCGCTTTGTAATCGATCGAAAGTTTGAAAGTGCGGTGGCGGCGGCGGCATCCCAACGACCCTGAAAACCCAAAAATTCCCGCCGAAAACACGATGAACGATGATAATGACAGAATTAATATAATTCATTAAATTACTCACCATCACTGAAAGTTCAGCGGTGATAATGTCAGCCTTCCATAAAGTACAATAGCCTGATAAACCAGCAAAACTTTTTGATTTAAAACGACACACACTCGCGTTCACTTTTCATCCCCCCGAAAACTAAAACAAACATGGCTGCGGCGTCACTCATTGAAAACGAAGTCAAATTCACTAACTTTATTTTCATAAGTTTTTTATAATTCTCACTACGTGATTTCTTCTTTTTTTCAATTATTGTTGACTAATTGTCATAATTTTCTCTTATCAGTTATCAAAGGAAAATGTAAATGACAGTTGTAGACAGTCTCTTGACTAGGTGGTTGAAGCGAACGGCGCATGCGCAATGAATTCGCCCTCTTACGTCAGTCGCGGGAAGTATTTTGAAATTTGAAAATTTTTCAAAAGCACACAAAATTTCAAATTAAAAAAAAAATATATGAAAATAATTAAAAATTGAGCGTATAAAAAATATATAATTACTCAAAAATAAAATACTCGTATTCAATTACTTCAATTCAATTACTTTTAATACAATTTTAATTAAATATCTCAAAAAATGTTTTATTTTCAGTTTTTTATAAATTCAATTATTCACAGAAATATTAAAATTCAATTATTTTTATATTATAATAATATTATTCTCAAGAATTTAATTATTTTCAAAAATTTTAATAAAATTTCTTATAAAAAATTCAATTATTTTCTTAAACAATAAAATTCTTAGAATGAATTCAATTATTTTCGTAAATAATAAAATGATTTAGAATTAAATTAATTAATTAATATAGAATTAAAAATTAAATTTATCCACAAGATTGAACTTTTTCCAAAAAATTTTAATAAAATTCTTCGAAAGTATTCAATTAATTTTAAAAAATTGAAATTCTTTGTAAGAATTCAATTACTTTGAATACAATTTTAATTAAATATCTCAAAAAATGTATTATTTTCGAAAATTTGTAAAAATTTAATAATTATCTGAAATAATAAAGTTCCTCGCAGTAATTCAATTATTTTTAGAAATTATTAAATTCGTTACAAGAATTCAATTATTTTTGTAAATAATAAACTTTTTTATACAGGAATTCAATTATTTAAACAATTTTTAATAAAATTCTTATCAAAAATTCACTAATTGTTTTAAATAAAAAAATTCTTCGCAGAAATTTAATTATTTTCAAAAATATAAAGGAAATTCTTAGCAAAAATTCAATTATTTTGAATAATTCAAATAAAATTCCTATAAAAAATTCTATTCTTATTTTGCAAATTAAAAATTCTTCTCAGGAATTCAAATATTTTTCTAAATAAGAAAATTGTTTACATGAAGTCAATTATTCTAAAAAATTTTAATAAAATTCTTAAAAAGAATTCAATAAATTGTTAAATCTTAAATAATAAAATTCTTCACAGAAATTCAAATTCTTAATAAAATTTAATAATTAATTTTTTTGTTGATAAATTTTAGTAAAATTGTTCCAATGAATTGAATTATTTTCAAAAATTTTTTACCTTTTTTATAAGAACTCAATTACTTTTCAATAAACATGAATGTATTTTCCTTATTGATACATAATTGATTGTTTACATTTAACATTCACATGCACTGTTTAATTAATTTTATATCCAAATTTTCTATAATTGTATTGTATACAGTGTATAATCAAAAATTAAAAGTTGTATTTAATTTTTACAATAAACATCACTCTCAAAATTGTGTAATTATATCTAATATAAAATTATTTTTGAAAAATATATTCTGAAAAACTATTGAGCATCAAATTTAAAATACCATAGTTCTTTTTAATCATTTAGTCTTTCTCAATTTTATTTATTTTTTTTTTGTTGTTGTCAATTGAAATTGTGATGATAAGTGTAAATTTTTCTATGAAATTATAAACTTTGGAAGATTTTTCAGTTCGAAGACAACATTTTTGTACATTTGTAAATTCAAAATATAATTTCTAAAAAATAAGAGACATTTTTCCATTATTATTTCGAAAATAACTGGTTTTTTTTCTGAAATTACCATTTTTTTTCAGTCAGTAATAAAATTATATAAAAATATAAAAAAATAAAAATAGAGTTTATTAAAAATATAAAAAAAAAGAAATTAATTAATTTACAGATTTAAAGATTCTTCTACATTTTCATTCGTATTTTCAACTTTAACACTTGTCAATTGTTCCTTATTGTTATTATTATTATTATTATTATTATTATTATTATTATTATTATTGTTATTATTATAACCAGCGTCATAGACCATTTTAATTTCAGGCGAAATAATTTTCGTTGCTTTGACAATTTTTAATTTAGAATTTTCATTTTTCAAAATTTTCTCATTCTTCTCTATATTAATGGGCATTATTTCAACAAAGAAATATTGAATAATTGCAATGGCAATTAATGCAAATATTCCAAACATAAGTAATACTTTCCTTGAATCGTGAAAGAAATAAAACCACGAATTAAGACCGGAAATTTGTCCAAATAGATGACTGAAATAATACCACAATCCAACGAGACTAAAAGCTGATGTACACGTTTTTGGAAATAATATTCCAACAAGATAATAGATTTGTGTACGGAAACAAATATTTGCAAATCCAATTGAAAATGCTTCCATAATAAATCTATTATTCCATAAATAGTTTATGAAATTTGTAACAGTCTCCTTGATATCATTGTTTGTATCCTGCAAAAAAAATAGACATTTTAATTATTTTATTCTATTAATTAATTAATTAATTAAAATTCTATAAATTCTATGAATTCTATCAAATTTTTTCATTATCATTACTTTAAAAATTTGAAATTTTTTGTAACAAAAAAACAGGGTTGCTACAAAAACTTAATTTTGTTTTTCCCTGATTTTCAGACAAAATTTTGACTTTTTTCTTGACCCTGAAGTATAAAAAAATAAAAAAAAATGTTCTATTACATTTATTTACGAATTTCTTTAATTGTAAAATTATTCGATTTCATTAATAACTTCTTGTTAAAATAAATATTTAATCATTAAAATTTTTCTATAGGAATTAAGATTTTCAAATTCAAACCTTTTGGCAAAGTGATAAAATCCTGATTTTTTATTATAAAATCTTAAAACTATAAATTCAAATTTTCTCCCTTTTCAAAATTCAATTACTTCTAGAAATTCACGCTAAATTCATTCTTTAATCAATTTTTATTAGAAAATTTTTCGAGAATTCAATTACATATTTAAACACAAAAATAAATAATTTATTAAATTAATGAATATTTCTTAAAACTGGATTTTTATGAAGAATTATATCAAAATTTTTTTAAATAATTAAATTCTTTCGGCGAATTTAAAAAAAATTTGTAAGAATAAATGCAATTTTCTATAATTTTATTTAAAATTATATAAAAAGTAATTGAAATACGGCGATAAGTTTTGTTATTTATGAAAATAATAATTGAATTCTTGCAACGAATTTTATTAAAAATTTGTTTAAAGAATTTGAATTCCTGTGAAGAATTTTATTTGTGAGAATAATTGAATTCCGGAGAAAAATTTTATTATTTATGAAAATATCTGATTTCTTGAGAAGAAATTTATTCAATTTTTTTTTTGAATAATTGAATTCCCATAAAAAAATGTATTATTTGTAAAAATAATTGAATTCTTAAGAAGAATTGTATTGAATAGAATTTTATTTAAATTTTTCGAAATAATTGAATTTCTCAGAACTTTTTTTTCAATTTTTTGTGCAACGAAATTTATAAAAAAAAGTGATAAGTAATTGAATTCCTGTGAAATTTGTATTAAAATTTTGTTTAAATAATTGAATTCTTTTGGAAAATTTTATTAAAACAGTAGATATATGAAAAATCATTTAATTGAGGAAATTCTTTAAAAATAATTGAATTTTTGCCAAAAATTGTATTAAATTTTTTTTAAATAATTGAATTTCGGAGGAGAATTTTATTACTTAAAAAGATAATTTGAATTTTATCCAGAATTTTTTTTAATTTTCACAAATAATTGAATTTATGCGAAAAAGAATTACATCCTTTTTTAAATTTAAATAAATTTCTATAAAGAATTATATTATTCTCAAAATTTTTGATTTTTTAAATTATTTTAAATAGAATTAAAAATTAAATTTATCCGTAAAATTTAACTTTTTCAAAACATTTTTTTAAAAATTCTTCGAAAGAATTCAACTTATTTTTAAAAAATTAAAATTCTTTGTAAGAATTCAATTACTTTCAATACAATTTTAATTAAATATCTCCAAAAATGAGTTATTTTTGAAAATGATTTAAATTCAATGATTTTCTGAAATAATTAAAATCCTCGTAGTAATTCAATTATTTTTAAAAATAATAAAAATTTTTATAGGAATTCAATTATTTAAAAAATTCTTAATAAAATTAGATGCAAGAAATCACTTATTATCTTAAATAATAAAATTCTTCACAGAAATTTATTTATTTTCAAAAATTTTAAGGAAATTCTTCCCAGAAATTCAATTATTTTCAATAATTCTAATAAAATTTTTATAAAAAATTCAATTCTTTTCTTGAAAAATAAAATTCTTCTCAGGAATTCAATTATTTTCAATAATTATAATAAAATTTTTATAAAAAATTATATTTTCATCTTACAAAATCAAAATTCTTCGCGGAAATTCAAATATTTTTTGAATAAGAAAATTGTTTACAAGAAGTTGATTATTGTAAAAAATTTTATTAAAATTCTTATCAAGAATTCAATTATTTTTCTAAATAATAAAATTCTTCACAGAAATTTATATTTTTAAGAAAATTTATTATAATTCTTATGAAGAATTCAATTATTTTCTTAAATAATAAAATTTTATTATTTATAAAGATAATTGAATTTTTGACGAGAATTTGTATTGGAATTCGTGGTAATTTCATAGCTTATGAGACAAACAGAAAAGACACAAAAATTCATAATTTTCTTATTAAAATTTAATTGTTGCCAGTACTTTTAATAAAAATTACCTCACTTTTCCCTGATTTCCTAACTAATTCTAATTTTCCTGACTTTTTTCTGAATTCTCTAAACAATGGCAACCCTGAAAAATAATTCAGTAATTAGGGTATAAAATAAAAAATTAAATATTCTCACCAATAATTCGCTTTTGCTGGATAATTGTACATCGTTCGCAGCTGAATTTACGGAGACGAAAATAAATAGAATGACATATCCCACGTATGTAATATTCAATGAACTTGCCTTCTTGTAAATGCAAATATTGTAAAACAAAACACCGCATATTTCTCCAATTATCAATGTCATTTCGTAAGAATCAGAAATAGCATTTTCTGCACTTGACAATAATCCAGCGAATGTGGCAATAAAATAAATTGCCACCATTTTCCAACTAATTGTAAGTAGAAAAATATTTTTCAACGGATTCCAAAGATGAAAAATTGGTCCCTGATTGCGTTGTTGCTGCTGATGCTGCTGCTGCAACTGCTGCTCTTTTTCTTCTTCATTATTTGTAACAAATTTCTCATTAGGAATACATTCGATGCCACCCGATCTATAATCATTCGTCGTTTTCTCTTGAATAAAAATAAAGAAACTGAAACTAAAAATCACAATAAATATATTAACTCCATTGGCAATGTTTTCAAAATTATTTTCCGTATTATAAAATTTTAATTGAATATCATCATTTATTTTGTATAAAATACGGAATACTTCAATGGAGAACCAAAAATTGATGATATATTTATGAATTATTTCCGGTCTTTTATTTTCAACTAGAAATTTTCCTTGCGCAACAAATGCAAGTGCCGTTCCCAAACCAAGAAATGCCGAGGATATTAGTAATGATTTTGAATTATTACCACTTGAGAAATAAATTAAACTAATTAGAAAAATTGTATGACATGTGTAACTGGTGAAAATTGAAATTCTCGTTCCTGCCAGAGTCACATAGGATGGTGCCAATAAAATGCATAGAGCGAGAGAAACGTGAAAAATTAAATACGATCTTGGCCCAAATGTAAACACCGAATTATAAATCTGTAAACAAATTTTAATTATAAATTTCAACTATTTTTTAAAAATAAGAAATTTGAATTATTAAGCGAAAAAATCATTAGTCACAAAACTAAAAAGTAAAAAAAAAATTCTTTAATAATTAAAACAAAAATAGAAATTTCTCACCAACGATTGAATTTCAGATAGAGAAGCAAATCCACAGCTTAAAATCACGATATTTAAGATTTCTCTGTTAATTTTCATGATTGTTGTTGATTCACTCGAGAGAGAGAGAGAGAGAGAGAGAGAGAGAGAGATGAGAGATGTTTTCTTTTTGAATGAAGTTGTATTGGACCTTTTATTGATCAACTCCGGATGCACTGGAAATTCATTTCACGTTCACCCTCTTCTCACCCTGCTCTCACTTCGAAAGAAGACCAAAACCACACCCCAAAAAAAGTAGCGAAATTTATTTTTTCCAATTGTTTCGTTTTCGATGGGAAATCACTTTTCTCTCGTTTTTCTATTTTTAAAACACAAGATTCCAAAAAAATTATAAATATTAAAAATACTTCTACACTTTTATTTCGATTTAAAATGAATTTTTGTTTTGTAAATTCTAAACTTTAGAATTCTTTTTGAAATTTATCTCCAAAAAAAATAGACGATGATCGAGGAGATATATTTTTCGTTTCGAAACACTATGAATTTCAGGGAAAAATCATTCAAGACTGGATCAACAATTTCTGCGCATTCAATCATAGCGCGAAGTTTGAAATTTCTTTTTTTTCTTGTTGAAAAAGGAAAACCAAACTATAAAACTATTTTATAAATCAAAAAATAAAAAACAAGAATTGAATAAAATTCGTAGTGTAAGAATTCAATTATTTTCATGAATTTAATAAAATTTTCATATAAGATTTCAATTATTTTTAATACAATTTTAAATAAATTCCTCGAAAAATGTAATTAATTTCAAAAATTTTGTTTGAATAATTGAATTCATTTGGAAAATTTTATTAAAACAGTAGATATATAAAAAATCATTTAATTTCGGAGAAGAATTTTATTATTTATAAAGATAATTGGAACTTTAATCAGAAATTTTAAAAAATTTTGAACATAATTGAATTTATGCGAAGAAGAATTCAATTATTTTTATTAAATTTAAATAAATTTCTAGAAAGAGTTTAATTATTTTTAAAAAAATTTCATATTTTTTTATATTACTTTAAATAGAATTAAAAATTAAATTTAATCGGTAAAATTTAACTCTTTCAAAACATTTTAATAAAATTCTTCGAAAGAATTCAACTAATTTTAAAAAATTGAAATTCTTTGTAAGAGTTCAATTACTTTCAATACAATTTTAATTAAATATCTCCAAAAATGTGTATTATTTTCAAAGAATTTTTAAACCTCAATGTTTTTCTCAAATAATTAAAATCCCTCGCAGTAATTCAATTATTTTTAAAAATAATAATATTCTTCACCAGATTTCAATTATTTAAAAAAATTTAATAAAATTCGATGCAATAATTCAATTATTTTAATAAATAATAAAATTCTTCACAGGATTTCAATAATTAAAAAAAAATTTATTAAAATTAAAGGCAAGAATTCAATTACATTTCACAAATAATGAAATTCTTGGCTGAAATTCAAATATTTTCAAAATCTACTATTTTAATAAAAAATTCGTTGCAAGAATTCAATTATTTTTCTAAATTAATAAAATTCTTCACAGGATATCAATTATTTAAAAAAAATTTAATAAATTTCGATGCAAGAATTCAATTATTTTTCTAAATAATAAAAATCTTCACAGGATTTCTATTATTTAAAAAAAATTTAATAAAATTCGATGCAAGAATTCAATTATTTTAATTTCAATTATTTTAATAAATAATAAAATTCTTCACAGGATTTCAATTATTTTTAATACAATTTTAAGAAAATTATTCGAAAAATGTAATTATTTTCAAACATTTTATTAAAATTCTTCAAAAGAAATTATTTATCAATTATAAATTATTTTTAATAGTTTTTGCAAAAGATCCTTGAGAATTTTCAAATCCATTTGTTTAAAATTTAATTTTACGAAAATTCTATTATTCGGAAATTCTTTAATTAATTATTTAGAAAATAAAAATTTGAAATAATTTTTTAAAAAAATTCAATTCAACTTTTAAAAAAAATTAATTTTGCAGAATTGTTAGTTAAAAGTATGAAGAATTCTAATTTTCAAAGATTTTAATTTGAAACCTTTTCAAAATTCAATTATTTTTCTAAAAATTCATGCTATAATGCATTTAATATTCAATTACTATCAAAAATTTTTAATAAAATTCAATTTTTATTAGAAAATTCTACGAGAATTCAATTATTTAAATACAAAAATAAATAATTTATTAAATAATTGAATATCTCTTAAAACTGAATTTTTATGAAGAATTTTATCAAAATTTTAAGAATAATTATGCAATTTTTTATTTCATTTTATTTAAAATTATATAAAAAATAATTGAAACGCTAAAAAATGAATACACAGCGCATAAGCGTTGAACATACTTTTTAATTTAGAACACTTATCCAGAAAAAAATATTTACATATGTTCCATATATAATATATAATAATAATAATAATAGTAGTAGTTTATAAAAACTAAATGTACGTCAGGCTAGATTTTTTTTTTACCATTTCAGTATATAGTTTTAATTACAAAGAGAGAAAATATATGAGAGATATTACAAAATGTACACGTGGGTCGAATTTAATTTTCGTAAATTACGGATTATATAATATACTATAATATATATTTATAGCGAAAAAAAAATGAGAGAAAAAAAACAGATCTCTACAGCATTAAAAGAATATATTCAAGGCAAGGGTCGAAATTATTATTATTATTAGAAATAATTAATAATTATATAAATTGAATTAATTAGCTTTGATGCTCAAAAATAAGCGGAAGAGCATCTCCTCTGTATTCGCAAAGATTCCTTTACTTTCTAAACTGAGCTGTAATTATTTTAATCGTCATTATCATCTTCATCATTAACATCATTATCATCGTCATCATTCTCATCATCATTATTATCATTATCGTCATCGTAATTATTATCGTCAACATTATCATCATCGACATCATTCTCATCAACATTATTATCATAATCAACATTATCATCATCATCTTCATCATTATCAACAAAAATTTATCTTTGCCATCATCCTCATTATCACTTATCAACAAACTGGATTAAAATTAGCACTTAATAATTTAAATTTTCACCCACGTACTCAGTTCACAAAACTATTTTGCCATTTCTTCTATATAATAAAAACCGGTTTCCCCCCCCCCCCCCCCATTAAAAAATTATACAAATTCTGTATATTTTCTATATATATATATTTATATAACATATAATATTTAAAAATCTATTAGTCATGTTTACTGAAACATATAAAAAAAAGACTAATTCGTCTCTATTTTGCAACCAAGTTATTTTAAAAAGCTCACCGCAGAAAAATTGTCTTTCGGTTCATAATCTCAAAATTAGAATACAAAAAAATTTTTCTTTTTCCTCGAAAGTAATGTTTAGGCATTATTATTAAAACGACAAAAAGAAATAAATATTCTATGTACAGTTTTTTAGTCGTTTAAACTTAAAATAAGAATCGAAAGAGAAGCAAATGCAAAATCAGAAAAATTCGAAACTGCAAATAATAATTATCATTGATCATTGAAAAAAAAAAAACGTTTTTAACGTATTTTTTTCTCTTTTTAATTTTCTTGTCACATAAATGCAGAAATATAAAAAACATTTCTCGGGAGAAAAAAATATTTTTCCCTGCAAATAACAAAAAAAAAGTAAGTGCTGACTAGCATTTGATAAATTCACTATAATATTCGCCAAAAATTGAAATAGAAAAATTTTGCAAGGGAAAAACATTTTTTTTTTCACCAAAAGAAATATTTTACGAAAAAATGAAAAAAAAATTTAGGAAAAATTTATAAAGATATATAAATAAATAAATACTATAAAAAAAACTGTCGAATTGAGATTTCGTTCATTTATAAAAGTGACAGAAATAAATATATACAAAGGCGAGATCTAATTATTATTTTCTTTTTTAAAGCATTCTTTTCAAATAATAGTTTTTAGATATACCGATTAATTTCTCTACCTATTAATTACTTTACGCAGATAAATTTGTTAAATTATAGGTGTGTATTTTTTTTAATTATATTATATTATCTTAAAATGTAAAATAATATTAGTGATTTTTTTCCTTTCCTCATTTAAGTTGACAATGAAATTAGTTTATGTTATCAGTAAAATTCGTAGGAGTATGATATTTAAAAATAGCGTTTTTTTTTCATACCCACGCAAATACACACGCACACACACACCCCCCTCTTTCCCCCCGAATTCCTGTTAAGATGAACAGTTTTAATAGTTTTTTTTTATCTAAAATAATATATATAGTAGAACATCTTACTCTGTACATAGTACATACATCGAAGTGATTGATTCTCTTTTATTTTCTATTTCATTCATTGAACTGCATAAATCAATTTTCTCTTTACATTTTAATTAGTTTGAATTTCATTTTTATTTTAATTTAATTTTAACTTTAAATTTCATTCAAATTTAATTTTAATTTTAAATTTCATTCAAATTTAATTTTAACTTTAAATTTCATTCAAATTTAATTTTGATTTTAAATTTAACTTTTAATATTATTAATAAGGAAAATAATTAAATTTTGAAAAATTTAGAAAAAAAATCACTAAAAAATTAGCTTTTTAAAAACATTATAAAAATATTTTAAAAATAAATAATAAAGCATAAAATGATAATAAAAATAAAAATAATTTGTTTTCTCCAAAATTTTAATAAATCTAAAAAATTGAATTTCTAACAACTTTAATCTATAATTTATTGTTTTTTGAATTTTCTAAATATGTAATTAAAAATATCGAAAATAATTGAATTTTTAAGAATTATAATAAAAAGATTCCAAGAGTTACTTTTTATAAAAAAGAATTTCTTAATAATTATACTTTTTTTGAAGCTAATTTTTATTTTTATTTTCATTTTTCATGTTAAAATTTTTAAAAATTCAATTATTTTAAAAATTTAGGTACAATTAAAATTTTTTAAAATTTCATTTTCAGAAATTCTAATGAAATACATTGAAAAAAATCAATTATTTTCAATAAAATTGACGAAAAAAACCAAAAATGGTCCAAAATTTTAATTATTTAAAAACCTTTTAAATACATAATTTAAAAGTTCAATTATTTTTAGAAAAATTATTCAAAAATACCTAGTTTTAAAATATTTGACTTTAGTTATTTTTCACACTATAAAAATCGAACTAATTTGCAATTTCATCCGAAAAAAATTGTATTTTTTTCAATATTTGGAAGAAAAGTTGATAAAGTCGAATTTTTTTTTGAAAATAATGGAAAAATTACAAAAAGTTTTTTTCCGAGATTTGACTTTATCTATAAATTTTTCGAATTAGAGAAAATTTGATTTTCCCAATTATAGGTACAATATTCAAGAGAATATTTTTCTAATTTTATTTTTGTAAATTCAAATTTTATTAGATTAAAATTTTTGATTACTTTTTTAAAATTAAAATTCCAAAATTTAATTATTTTCAAGAAGTTCAATTAAACTTCTTCTCTAAATCAATTATTTCGAATAATTTTCCAAAAAGTTTTTAAAATTCAGATTAAAATTAACTGAAATTCAAAATCAGTTCATCACATATTAAAAAGTAGAGAAAATTTATGCAGTTGATTGTAATGATCGATTTTATTATTATAATTGTTATTATTCTTTTCTCGATTATCATTATCAATCATCATCGTTATTATCATTATTATGTATCATCTTCGCTATTGTCGATCGTAATTTTTTTTTTCGTTCTTTCTCTTTTTTTTTGACTATCGAATGATAACAATAAAAGGCACTCGAGGGTCGAAAAACTTTTTTTTTTCCTTTTTTTTACATATAAAAAAACGACAGTCTAAAAAGGGATATTGTAGATTATTTTTAACGATATGAAAATTATTTCACTCGATTAAAAATTATTAATAGCCACTGTTATCAGCGAAATCAATAATTATTTAAAGTAATTCGTCCAAGTACCTCTTCACAACACGAGTCGATGCTACAATTCTAAATGACTAAAATAAATATTAATATCTTATCTCGCGAGTATCTCCAATTCTCTTAAATAAGTCTAGACATTTTCCTCCATTCGTTTGCCTTTTTCATCTTTCTTTTTTACTTTATCTCCGAATTTTCATTTCTTTTTTTAAATAATTACATTTTTTAATTATTCGTTTTCTTTCTTTGCCATTTCACTAAATAATTTCCTATATTTGATCGAAATGTTTATTGACACGTTTCGCGCTTGGAAAAAAAGAAAAAGAAATAATTGCATTTCACGATTTAGAAATCGTTTTATTATAATTTATATAATAAATGTTGCACGTTATAATTAGTATTATGAAATTATACTTTTAGAACGATAAAGAGAAATTTATATATATTTATTAATTACTTAAATATATATCGTTTTTTTTCGATATAAAAAAGAAAACGTTAAATAGAAACCGATATTATTTAGCCACATTAAACTATTTATCTGCAATATCACAGTAGTTGCTGAAAAATATATATATTTTTTTTATATTATAAAAGCCGATGACTCGATTCAATAAAAAAAAAATGAAAATGGCAAGCAAAATATTTCTAAAAAATTTTTCAGCCATCGATTAATTGTTTTTGTTTCAAGTTTTCAACCCGAAAATAATTTTCCATTTCTAAATTGTTGGAAAAAATCTCTTTTCATCGAAAAATAATTTTTCTTTTTCACCTATTTCCTGAATATTTATAGGAAAATATCAATTTTTCTTTATAAACAATATTTTTAAAATACCGTTCATCTAAAATTCTTCTCAAAATACATTATCTACAAAAAAAAAAGAATTTTTTTAAAAGCGATAATTCTGCGTCAAACGCCTATACTGGGAATTTCATTTTAGTTCATAAATACTAAAAAAAGGAACGAAATAAAAGCTAAAGAATTCTGTGAACTCTGCGATAAAAAAATTGTTTGGTAATAAAATTTATGCATCCCGAATTATGCGATTTTTCTTTTTGTCAAAATAGTTTGTTTTGATCGACATTTTTTTCCTTTAACAAACGTCGAAGGCTTCTTAATTTCTACATTATTCTCATATTTAAGCGAACATTACGCAAGACACTCAAAACGTTAAATTAAACTAAATAAATTTGACAAATTTGCTAAAAATGGCAACAATTATTTTTTTTTAAAAAAAGGAAAAAAAAAACATTGAGTCAATTATGGCAATATCACTTACAGTGATGACAAATATAATCAACCAGTGAGGAATTCAAAAAAAAAAAAAAAAAGTTTTAGAAAAAAATTGAATAAATAAAAAAAAATTATCGAGATGCTTTACGTGGTTCGCTTAAAAAGCCTAATGTCATACATAAACAGGACCCTGATTATCATTGTCATCTAAACTGATACGATTAGCGTACGCTGGACCGCCGCCATCGTCAAAAAAACGTCTAAATGTAAATTCAAAGAATCCATGAAATGGTTTTCCATTATCCAAATGCTCATCGGATTGATTTGATTCCGATGATTCGGAATTGCGCAATTTCTCAGGATCAACAGGATCGAAATTACTTGTATCTGTTGGATATTGTATTCTTGGTATATGAGGCGCAACTTGACGTCGCAATCCCTTTTCAAAGTCAATACTCGAGAAAAATGGATGACTTTTCACTTCGTCGGCATTTTTGCCAAGTCGACGATCGGCGCCAACGCAAAGTTTTAATATTAAATCCATACCTTCTGGCGATAAATTCGCTTGTTTCGGAATATGTAGCGTCGTCTCCCAATTAATCACCTAAAGAAACAAAAAAGTTTTTCACATTTAGAATTTATTTACTATTTTTCCTAAATTTATAATTTATTTACCATTTTTCCTAAATTTATAATTTCTCTTTCAAGAAATTAAATTAAAGTCGATTTTTTGAAATATTTACCTTGTACTGTGTTTCGGCGGGTGTATTGGCCAAGAATGGAGGAGAGCCGACCAGCATTTCGTACAAAATAACGCCAACACTCCACCAATCGCATAATTGTGTGTAACCAGTTCGTTGTAAAACTTCCGGCGCAATGTAATTCGGTGTACCAACCAAAGAATGTGCCAAACATCGTTGATGTTCCCTGTGCCTTCTTCTCTCGAGTGGCTTCGATTGAATGCATCGACACTCGTTATTCCAATCCTCGGCCGGGTCCATTGAATCCTGCTTTCCATGTCCTGAAATAAAATTCCACTCTATTAATTCTCAGAAATAAAAAAATTATTATTTATAGTTTCAAAATTATTTCTATTTGATTTCTATTTATTATTACAAAAAATTTTCGAAAAATTACTGATGCTGCGAGTTTTGAAAAAAAAGGATATTCAATAATTTAATACTGTGAACAATAAAAAAAATGTTTAAAAATATTTAATCATTTACAATTTATTTAATTATGTCAAATTTTTTTTTAAATAAAACGATTATATGTAGAATATTCATACTTAATTGGTATTAATGTATGAAATATTTTTAAAGATCTTCGAAATCATGTTTCTATCTATATTATCTCACATCTCATTAAATAATTATATAAATTTATAATATTAGTCATTGTGGATAAATGACAATAATTTTCTTTTTAACTGAAAGTTGCCGTTTCTTTAAAATAGATAAGATATTTTCTTTTTGAATTTTACGAATTTTCTGTTTTTGAAAAAAAATAATTAAAAAAATTTACTTCCACAGCAATTAATTTATATCTAAATAATTAGATTTTTTTTTATCAATAATTGAAATTCAAAATTTTGATAATTTTACACTTGAAATCAATAATCTGTAGATAGATAGAAATTTGGATAATTTTAGATTTTGATAAATGGAATTTGCGATTGATTAAAATTATAATGAGTTTAAATTTAGAGTATTTAAGATTTGGATGAATTAAATCCTAATTAAAAAAAATTAGGATTGTTTGAAAGTTGAATCACTTGAAAATTAAAATTTGAATAAAGTTGAAATTTTCATTATATTTTTCCAGAATTTTTAACTAAAATTCTTCTTTAAATGAATTACCTACTATTAATAATTTTTGAAACATTTCTTTGAACATTTTCAAATCATTTTATTTACAATTCAATTTTACGAAATTTCATCGATTATTCGGAAATTCTTCAATCAAATATATATTAGAAGATAAAAACTTCAGATAACTTAAAAAAAATTCAATTGAACTTTTACAAAAAAAATTAAATCTACACAATTTTAAGTTAAAAGTATGAAAAATTCAAACATTGAAAGATTATAATTTAAAACCTATTCAAAACTCAATTATTATCTAAAGTTTTAACTGAAATTCATATTTGAATCAATTATTATTAGAAAATTCTACGACAATTCAATTATTTAAATACAAAAAAAAAAAAAATTTATTGAAGAATTGAATGTTTTTTTAAATTGAACTCTCATTTAAAGAATTTTATCAACAAATTTTTAAATAGGTAAATAAAATTCTTTTGAAGAATTTCAATAAAATTTTTAAGAATAATTTCATTTTTCGAGAAATTAAATTAAAATTGTATTAAAAATAATTGAATCTCTGTAAAAAATTTGACTGAATTGAGTAAAGTTTTTGAAAATAATTGAAATTTTGACAAGAATTTTATTAAAATTTTTGAAAATAATCGAAATATTGCCAAGATTATTCTTAAAATTTTTAAAAATAATTGAATTTTGAAGAAAAATTTTAATATCTATAAAAATAATTGAAATTTTGACAATAAATTTTTTTAACTTTTGATCATAATTGAATTTCTGCGAAGAATTTTATTACTTTTGAAAATAATTGAATTCTTGAGACGAATTTTTTAATAATATTTCTTTTTAAATATCTAATTATTTTTAATACAAAAATAAATAATTTATTAAATATTTGAATGTTTCTCAAAATTGAATTCTCATAAAGAATTTTATGAACAAAATTTTTAAATAATTGAATTCTTTTGACGAATTTTAATAAAATTCTGCAATGAGTTTTATTATTTATGAAAATAATAATTGAATCCCTGTAAAATATTGTAATACATATTTATAAAAATAATTGAATCTCTGTAAAAATAAATTGAATATTTTTGAAAATAATGGAATTATTGCAAAGAAATTTATAAAAAAATTTTAAATAATTGAATTGCTGTGAAATATTTGTTATTTATAAAAAATAATAAAAGGTTTGCTTAGAATTTTATCAAAAAATTTTTAAAATAATTCATTTCTTGTGGAAATTTTTATTAAAATAGTAGGGGAACATAGTCTAGGTCGGCCACCTTTTTGACTTTTGTTTATAACTTTTTTTTAAAAATGAATTTGGACAATTGAAGTATATGGTTGGAAAGTCCTGTTTAATAGGAACATTTTTTCTGTACAAAGTAAATTGACAGGTTTAAAAATGAAAAAGTTATAAAGATTTAAAAAAAAAAAAATTTGTAGTCCAGGTTAGCCATTACAGTCAAGGTCGGCCATGTTTAAAATTCAAAGGGCATTAATCGTTAAAAAATAAAATAACATGTTTGGAGTTACGGAAAATTGATTCTTTATTGTTTACAGTTTGTAACTTAATGAAATAACAAAATAATAACAATAAACAATATAAAAAAATAAATATAAATAAAAAAAAGTTTTGCACTAAAATATTAATAAAATTAAATAAAAATATTAATAAGATGATCAATTATATTATGAGTTATACAGAATTGCAGTTTTTGCAAATGAAGTAGCTCGTCCTCAACTTTGCGCATTTTAAACACATAGTGGCCGACCTTGACAGTAAGTAGCATTACCGAATTGTTGTAACCATAAAGAAATACGTTTCGGGATTCGATTTTTTACTTTGTTTTTCTTTCAACCATGAGTCCCACAAATTTTCTGCATACTTGCCTTGACGATTCAATTTGTTTTTTATCTTTTATTAATGGTTTTTCACATTATGCACAAAACTTTTTTTGAGCTTTTTTTGTACCGACGTCACAGAAAACACAATTTTCGATTTTCCGAAAATGTAATTGAACAAAAAGTTAGGTTTCACTAAGACAAGCTTCGACAAAAATGCGCGTAGGTGGCGCTAGTGAACTTGACAAAAAAACGCGAGTGGCCTACCTAGACAGTAGGCCAACCTTGACTACATTCCCCTAGATATTGAAAATCATTGAATAAAGAAGAATATTTTTGAAAAAAAAATTGAATTTTTTAAAAAGAATTTCATTAAAATTTTTGAAAATAATTGAAAATTTTGGAGAAAAATTTTAATACTTATAAAGATAATTGATATTTTGACGATAATTTTTTAAAACTTTTAACCACAAATGAATTTTTGCAAAAAATTTTATTACTTTTGAAAATAATTGAATTCTTGTGATGAATTTTTTAATAATATTTCTTTTTAAATAACTAATTGAATTCTTTTGTGAAATTTTATTGAAACAGTAGATATTGAAAATAATTGAATTTTGATAAATTATGGAAATTAATGAAATTTCTACAAAGAATTTTATTAAAATTATTTTGAAAAAAAATTGAAGTGTTAAAAAAAATTTCATTAATATTTTTGAAAATAATTTAATTCTTTCAAGAAATTTAATAAAAAATGAATTGACAATAATAATTAAATTCTAATAAATAAATTATAGGAAGGCTTTTTAAAAAGTAATTGAGTTTTTTTGATGAATTGTAATAAAATTTTTAAGAATAATGACACTTTTTCGAGAAAAATAATGACATTTTCCATTAAAATTGTATTAAAAATAATTGAAATTCTGCGATGAGTTTTATTATTTATGCGAAAATAATTGTAAATCTATAAATTTTTTTATTATTTATGAAAATAATTGAATTATTGCGAAGATAAATTGTAAAGGCAACTCTTTTAAAATTGAATTAAGAAATTTGAATTAAGAAAATTGAATTAAAGAAAAATTAGATTTCAAGAATAAGCACAATAACTTTGCAAGATTCCAATCAAAATTCCCTGACTTTTCCAGGTTTTTTCAAGGTTTATAAAATTCCCTGACATTTCCAGGTTTTTTTTGGACTTCTTGTCCGGATACCGAAATTAATTCTAAATAATGAGTTCTTAACTCACCGTTTTGTTGATAATATTTAGAATTGTGCGTCCAACGGAAACCAGTGCATAGACCAAAATCCGTCAATTTAATATGTCCATCACGATCAATAAGTATATTATCAGGTTTAATGTCCCGATGAATGAATCCCATTTTATGTACGCTCTCCACTGCACACGTCAATTCCGCAATATAGAACCTAGCCAATGATTCCTTAAAGATCCCGAATTTGATCAACAATGACATGAGATCACCACCCGGTATATAGTCCATAACAAAATAAAGATTATCCTTATCCTGAAAGGAATAATAAAGTTTCACCACCCATTCATTATCAGCCTCGGCTAAAATATCCCGTTCGGCTTTAACATGCGCCACTTGATTACGATTCAAAACATCCGCCTTTCGTAATGTTTTCATCGCGTAAAATTGATTTGTATCCAATTTCCTGACAAGTGTCACTTCACCGAATGCACCAACGCCAATGGGTTTGATTTTCGTGAACATTGATTTATCCATTTTCGCACGTTTCAGTCGGATGTAATTGGATTCCTTTTGCGAGAGCATTTTACGCATTTGACATTGCGCCTCGGCGCTGAGGCCGATTTTTGCCATTTCGGTTTCGAGTTGCAGGCGACGATAGAGACGTTGTTTGTGTGATTTGAGTACGTTCTCGACATGTTGCTCCATGAAGAATTTAAAGGCCTGAGGTGAGTAGTTGCGGACTTTGCAGTCGCGGCGTTCCTCTTCTTTTTCTTTGCTCATGTGTTTGCGTTCGGGTATTGGGGATTGGTGTTTGATTTTGTAGTTGTTGGGTTTTGGTTCGGCGCCTTGGTGATTGTTGTTGCGAGTGGTGACGGAGGTGGAGGCGGTGGGTGGGAGAGGTGGTGTTTCGGGGTGTTCGGCGGGGGAGTACTTTCGTTGGAGGGGTGGGTGAGTGGCGACGGGGGAGGTTCGGGGAGCGGTGACACTCTCGGTGGAGATGCCGCAGTCGTCGGTGGGAAGGCCGTAGGGCGGGGGTGGGAGGGGATGGTGGATGCCGCGCTGGGCGGCGAGGGCTTGCATTGTGGTGGCGTAGCTGGGGGGTTCGGTGGTTGGGACGCAGATTGAACTGGAGGAGGTTCCGTTGATGATGGGAGGATAGGCGGGGGGTTGTTGTTGTTGTTGTTGCTTTTGTTGGATGGAGGAGGCGTAGGAGGGTGGCGGCGGGGGAGTGCTGCTGGTGCTGATCGGTTGGGGTGATGTGGGGGCAATTGCGGTTTGTAGGACGGGTTTTTGCACCTGGGTGCTTTTCACCGACTGCATGATGATTGGTGGTTGGGTTTTTGCTTGACGGGCGCCCCAGGCTTGGAGGGGCGTCGGTCGGGCCATTGAGTTCTGGGTGGTTGGCGACACTGTGGAGACGGTGATGGGACTCGGGGAGCCGGCGGAGGTGGGGCCGGAGTAGATGCCCGACGAGGGGCTTTTCCGGTAGTCCTGCTGCGATTGAGTGGGACTCTGTCGATTCTGCATGGAGGCGCTGTAGGAGGGAGGTTGCACGGAGCCGGAGGAGGAGGACGGGGGGACGATCGGATAGGGCGGAGGGAGTTCGACTTGAGTGCTGGAGTTGCTGTTGCTTGATTGGTAAATACTGAGGGCTTGGATTTGTTGCGTGAGTTGTTGTTGAACCTGAGGCCCGTTCTGAACGATCATTGGTTGTCGTCCGTTGGAGGTGACGTTCGAGCTGGCGACGGGACTCGTCCCCCGTTGGGGAGGATTGATGGAGCTGGAGTTTGAGCCGGAGCTGCCGGGCGTCGCGGGTGGCGGTCGAGTTGGAACGACGGGTGCGGGAGACATCCGCTTGAGCATTTGTTGCATGTTGGTGGGAACGTTCGGCTGGCTGTAGGGAGCGTGAGGTGGTGGCGGCGGCGGTGGTGTGGAGCTGCATCTCGGTGGAGGCGGAGGCGGTGGTTCCCTCTCGACGAAACTGCTCGGCGAGTATTGACGACTGAGTTGCGGATGTGGACTCAGTTCGGCTAGACGAGGACTATCGGACCTTGAGCTTCCGGCTCCGCTGTCGAGAGCAGGACTTCCACGTTGTAGGCTCAGTTCGCGCTCGAGACTCGGCTTTCTGATTAGTTTCGTGTTCAGCTTGCCGAGGCCGTTCATCGATTCGCCCTGAGTTTGTTTCAGCAACTCAATGGCGGAGTCGAGACGCCAACCAGCTATTTTTAGCGCGCGCATGCCAATATCCTGGGGAAAAAAGTTGAAATTGAAAATTGGAGTACTAAATTGAAAATTAGTTATAATAATTAAAGATGATCAGGTGATAAAATCATTATTTTATATTATAAGAATATAAGTTAAATATAATATTTTTTGTAAAAGTTCTTTGAGGATTTTCAAATCCATTTGTTTACAATTCAATTTTACGAAAATTCTATTATACGGAAATTCTTTAATTAATTATTTACAAAGTAAAAATTTCAAATTTATTCCAGAAAATTAAATCAAACTTTTTATAAAAAAAATTAATTCTATAGAATTGTCAGTTAAAAGTATAAAAAATTCAAATTTTCAAAGATTTTAATTTCAAACTTTTTGAAAATTCAATTATTTTTAAAAATTCATGCTGTAATGCATTTTTAATATTTTATTATCTAAAATTTTAACTGAAATTAATTTTTAAATGAATTTTTATTAGAAAATTCTACGAGAATTCAATTATTTAAATACAAAAAAAAATAATTTATTAAATAATTGAATGTTTCTAAAAATTGAATTCTCATAAAGAATTTTATCAAAAACTTTTTAAATAATGGAATTTTTTTGACAAATTATAATAAAATTTGTAAGAATAATTACATTTTTCGAGAAATTTGATTAAAAATATTTGAAATTCTGCCATGAGTTTTATTATTTATGAAAATAATTAAATCCCTGTAAAAAATTTTATTATTTATGAAATTTATGAAAATAATTGAATCATTGAGAAGAAATTTATAAAAAATATGTATAGAATTGAATTCCTGTGGAATTTTTATTATTTTAGAAAATAATTTTATATTTGCGTACAATTTTATTAAAATTTTTTTTAAATAATTGAATTCTTTTGGAAAAGTTTATTAAAATCGTAGATATTGAAAATTACTGAATTGAGGAAAATTTTTTGCAAAAATAATTGAAATTTAGCCTAGAACTCTATTAAAATTTTTGAAAATAATTAAATTATTGCAAACAATTTTATAAAAAAAATTTTTATTAATTGATTTTTTTCGAAAAAATGTATTCAAATTCTATTTTAAATAATTGATCTCCTGTGAAATTTTTATTACTTACAAAAATAATTGAAACTTTGCGTAGAATTTTATCAAAATTTTTAAAAAAAATTCATTTCTATTTGGAATTTTTTGAAAATAATTGAAATTATGCCAAGAATATTATTAAAACTTTTCAAAATAATTTAATTTCGATGAAGAATTTTGCTATTTATAAAAGTAATTGAAATCTTGATGAGAATTTTTTTTTTAAATTTGAAAATAATTTAATTTTTGTTATGAATATTGCTATTTATGAAAATAATTGAATTTTGCAAAGAATTTAATTAAAATTGACAAAAATAATTTAATTTCTAGAAAGAATTCTGATATTTATCAAGACAATTGAATTCTTTCGATGACACAAAAATTTAGTATTTTCTTATGAATTCTATAAATTTAATGTTTTTGCAGTACTTTTAATAAAAATCGGACTTTTCCCTGGACAATTCTACTTTCCCTGACTTTCCTGACGTGTGACAGCCCTGAATAATATTTATTAATTCCAAATGGTTATCTGGGTCTCTATCGTAATAAACAAATACCTCAGAGTAGCCCATGGCTAAAAGTTGAGCTAAGGCTTGACGTTGATCGGATTTATCAACCGCCGAACCAGATGCACCGGAAATTCCACTGAGACCTGAAGCAGAACTCACTCCGCTAGTTGTCGAAAGCGTGGAAATGGTACTTGCAGCACTCGATCCAACTTCTCCAGTTCCACCTGCAATAATTTTTAATCATAAATTCGTTACTTATTTAATTATTTATAACTTATTATTAAATCTGTCAAAATAATGGAAATTAGACAAAATTCTCGATTCCCACGACAAAAAAGAAAATATCTTTACCAATATTTGCAAACGGCAGCAGGGAATTACGAATTTCAGCTAACGCCTTTTGATGGTATCCTGAGCCACGAGTGCTCGACTTGCTGACCACAGGTGGATTCATAGTGGCCCATGCTAGGCCCACTGGGACCTAGCTCCAATCCACCTGCGACATAAATCAATCTAGAGGACAAAAAACAAATATTCTTAATTATTCATTCAAAATTTACAATTCAATTTAACTAATTTCACAAAACAAAAAAATCATCTAAAGTAGAAGAAAAGAAATTATTTCCCAAAAATAAAAGAATTAAATGAATCACTGAAATTCGGATTATAATAAATTTCTTCGAATTAATAAAAACAGAAAAATACAGAAAAATTCTGTTACCAATAAGAATATTTTTTGAAAAAGTGAAACCTGATCAATTCAATTAATTTCCCCATCTTCGATTAATTAATTTAACTTATTTAATAATAAGCCTTATAATTAATTACTTTAAAAAAATCGCAGCATCATTTAGAAAGAAAATCTGAAGAAACATTGATCATTTAATTATCCCAATAAAATTATCTTGATTATTCATTAAAATTCCAGATACATATAATATATGATTATAGATTTTTCTAGTTTACATAACAGAGATAATCCTTAGAAATGGAAATATCAGTTAACAATAGTGTTTTCTCAGTTCAATTAATAGAGATATAAACATTAATTCACTTAATTTACATGACTATTCTAGTTACATGTAATGAAAGACTTTTTTTTTATAATCTTATATATCGTATCAGTAAAGAGAAAAATAAAGCTCTATTTCATCTATATATGTAAGAAATTCTATAATCACGTAAGACCGACATATTTTCTGGATGAGTAAGATCAATAATTCGGACTATTAAAATATAATAGGAAGCGAATGTTTTTAATTTTATTTTTTTTTCTCATTCATAACAATATTAATTGGGAGAATTATTTTCTTTTTTCATATATATTGTCAAATTGTTAATATTAACATTCTTTTTTTGGAATTTTTTTTTCTTACTATAAAAACATAATTGGTGTGCGCAATTTCTTTCGCGAATTGCGACACATTCTTTTATTAATTGTCAAACATTAACATTCTTAAAATATTTAAATAGTCTTTCTTTACAAAGAAAAACGTTTATTTAAATTTAAACATTAATAAATTCTTTTTTAAATAATTATTTAATTATTATTATTATTCCATAGGAATTAAGATATCCAAAAAATTTCAAATTCAACAACTAATAAGAATATTATTTATTATAAAATATGAAGACATCGATCACTCCGAGTCTTCATGTTTTATAATAACTTAAATTTACATAAAATTTTTCAGAAAAAATTCAATTATTTTACAAAAATGTAATAAAATTCGTTGCAAGAATTCAATTATTTTAATAAATAATTAAAAATCTACACAGAATTTCAATAAAATAAAAAAAAATTTAATAAAATTCGATGCAAGAGTTCAATTATTTTAATAAATAGTAAAATTCTTCACAGAATTACAATTATTTAAAAAAAATGTAATAAAAATTTTGTTGCAAGAATTAAATTATTTTCCTAAATAATAAAATTCTTCACAGGATTTCAATTATTTTTAATACAATTTTAAGTAAATTCTTCGAAAAATGTAATTATTTTCAAAAGTTTTATTAAAATTCTTCAAAATAAATCAATTATCAATTATTTTTAATCATTTTTGCAAAAATTCCTTGAGAATTTTCAAATCCATTTGTTTAAAATTCAATTTTACAAAAATTCTATTATTCGGAAATTCTTTAATTAATTAATTAGGAAGTAAAGAATTAAAATAATTTTTAAAAAATTCAATTATTTCTAAAAATTCTTTCTATAATGCATTTGTTATTCAATTACTATTTAAAATTTTAAATGAAATTCATTTTTAATTCAATTTTTATTAGAAAATTCTACGAGAATTCAATTATTTAAATACAATTAAATTAAATATAATTTACTGAATAATTGAATGTTTTTCAAAATTAAATTCTCATAAAGAATTTTATAAAAAAAATGTTTAAATAATTGGTTTTTTTCGAAAAAACTTGAGCAAATTCTATTTTAAATAATTGAACTCCTGTAAAATTTTTATTACTTACAAAAATAATTGAAAGTTTGAGTAGAATTTTATCAACATTTTTTTAAAATAATTGAATTCTATTTGGAAATTTTTGAAAATAATTGAAATTATGCCAAGAATATTATTAAAATTTTTCCAAATAATTGAATTTCGGTTAAGAATTTCACAATTTATAAACATAATTAAAATCTTGACCAGAATTTTTTTTAAAAAAACTTTGAAAATAATTGAATTCTTGTAATGAATATTATTATTTATGAAAATAATTTAATTTTGCAAAGAATTTCATTAAAATTGTTGAAAATAACTTAGTTTTTAGGAAGAATTCTGATATTTATCAAGATAGAAAAAATTGAAGCTTTTGTATTATAGAGAATTTGTGATAATTTAATAAAACAAACAAAAAAGACAGAAAAATTAAAAATTTTCTTATGAATTCTAAAAATTTAATTTTTTCCAGTACTGTTAGTAAATTTTCCTGACTTTTCAATTTTCCTCTGATTCAAATAAAAACACAAAATAAAAAAAGTGTCAAGTATTTTTAATATTTTCAATTAATCACAAAGAGACAATACCTTTGGAATTTTAGGACGACTAATGTTTCCAGTATCAGTGCATTCTTGCAACAATTTTCGTTTTATTCTCCAAGTATTTGAAAGGATTCTTTTCAAAACAAATATCCCACAAGGTTGATAAAATATTTCAAGGCACAATCAGTGGAAAATAATTTAAAAGTCACTGACACGACACGAAAGTGGTGATGACATTCTGGATCGAAGAAACTGCAATATTTCCAAGACACATAATTATCATTTCACTAAAACTTCCTTTTTTTTCATTAAATTAATTAATTATTAAAAATTCATTTCCTAAAAGGAATTTTTTTTTAATGAAAAGAAAAAGATGGTAAAAACAACAGCTTTTTTTTGAGCACACACAAAATTTGAGAGAGAGAGAGAGAAAGAGAGAGACACACTTTTTCTGCAACCTTGTGCAGATTTTCGTGAGGCAACAATCATAAATTCTAACCTTGTTACTAGACAGATGTATAAAATGACTTTTCGCCCATTAACAATTATAAACTAGGATAATCCAATAAATTCTTGGGGGTGCAGCTGGATTTTCCGTCCAGGAATTTCTTGATCCAAGAAAGCAACGGTGATGCCCAGTGTATGGACAGCGAGCATATTCCCTTCTCACTTTTTTATCAAGTTCCCACTTTCACCAAAGAAATCTTCACTAAATGATAAAATCACTATTTTCTGATTATTTCAAATAATCCAATTGCAGATTCCCGGTCACGATTGCACGAGCGACAACAAAGAAACATACAGCCGTAAATTACTAAGTAACTGGCAGCCATTTTGAAGTGCCGACTTGACACTCTTTTTCGTAATTTACGGTCCCCACCGAATTGTTGCAAAGTATGGAATTTTTACAAAATTCATTCAATTACATTATGAAATCACATTAATCAGTAATTTAACGATTTTTTTTCATTAATCATTGTCAAAATTTGTTGAAAAACAAAAATATTTTGTTTGAATCAAAATGATGAAAAATGGCGGTGAATTCAAATGGTGGAGGATTATTTTTAATTACACAAGATTTTGTATGGTGATTTCAAGTTGAATTGATGATTTTAATAAGGTGGACGATTCTTAGGATATTTGGGAATAATTTCAGTTTTTTACAGTCGTGGAAAAGAAGCCTAGTAATGAATATAACGCTTTTTGAAAATTGGCATTTAAATTATTGTTATTGTCACTGTTTATTTTATCGACAGTTTTCCTGACACAACTCTGTTTTATCGGTCACTCTGGAATGCATTTTCATGAAAATGGAAAATTGCATTCACTTGCAGAAAAGTGCATTTGCATTTGGTCTGAATAAAGTGGGTTTAGGAACCCGACATTCCATTTAGGATTTTTTATATCAGTTAAAAACGCATGCGGTTGATTTTTTTTTAATTCGCAGAGAGGAGGAAGAAGTTTTCTCAGAGGTCATGTGGAATCTTTCAACGTGTGAGTATATATCTATGTATAATATATTATTCGTACTTAACCTATAAACAATCAGGTTTCACTTTTTTTACATAATATTAAATAAATTAACAATTCGTTTCAAATTGTTTATTAATTTTTTAATTAGGGAGACTATTTTTTCCTTTAGAAATATTGATTTTAATTACATTCTTTAGTTTTTATGTCAAAAAAGATGCAGAAAAGCTATTTCGAAATCTGTCAAAAAAGTTTATTGTTTATAGACAGTAGTAATTAATAATAATAATAAAGTACAAGTTCCGGTAATCTGTTCGCAGTTTAAAGTTTGTTAAATTTTTTATAATTTTTCCTTTCAAATATTTTCCATTTTAAAATTAATGTATTGAAAATCATTGAATTGTTGCAATTTGATAATAATTAATAGAATTCCTTCAAAGAAAGAAGAATTTTTTCTGAACTAATGGAGTTTCTTTAATAATTTTAATTGAAAATTTTGAAAACAATTGAATTTTATGAAGAAGAGTTTTATTAAAATTGTATTAAAAAGAATTGAATTCTTGCGAAGAATTAATTTACTATTTATAAAAATAATTGAATTGTTCCGAAGAATTTATTAAAATTTTAGAAAATAAATGAATTTTATGTTAATATTTAAAAATTTAAATTCTTTCGAGGAATTTTATTAAAATTGTTTTGAAAAGAATTGAATTTCTGCAAAGAATTTTACTATTTATAGAAATAAATTGTTTATAAAAATTTATTAAAATTTTACAAAATAATTGAATTCTTTCGTGAAATTTTATTAAAATTTTTGAAAATATGAACAGTAATAATTAATTTTGTAATTAATAAGTGAATTTTTTAAATTTTGATTATGAAATTATTTAAAAAATTTATATTTGAAAATAAAAAATTTTGTAATTTGCATAGCAATAATACATCTCGTTCCGATTTACACTCAAAATGATAAAATATTTATTTATTTATTTATAAATATGAATTGTTAATTTTAGAAAATAAGAAAAAATTAATTTTCCAGGTAAAATAATTATTTATGTCAGTGAATCAAAATGGGCAATGCAATAAGAATAGTTTTTTCCAATGCAATTCGACCAATTCGAAATATAAATATTGAAAAGCGAGCGCATAAATTTATTTCAAAAGAAAAACCAACTCCAGCCCCTCAATATGAATCAACTTCCAGGCAAATTGAAGTATCGAAAAGCAGTGAGTTAATGAAGTAATTTTAAAATAAAAACCCTGAAAAGAATACTGTTAAAATAACTAATGAAATTTTCCTGTAAATTTTCAGTTGATCCGGAATTTATGGAGAGACAAAAAATAAAAGATCCAACATTGAATAAATATTTAAAGGACATTTATGTAAAATCTACAGATCCAGATACAAAGGTTTGTATTTTTTTAATTTATCAAAACTCCTTTTTCAATTAAAATTTTTTGTTCTATCTAATATTGTAAAAAGGGTAAAAAGTATTGAAATATTACTTTTTTTAGCAGGATTCAAGTGTTAAAGAAGATCCATTAAAACCTCTACCAACGTCTAGAAAAACATTTGAATTCGAAGATTTTAATTATTATTACGTTAATAATATAAAGGAAGGAAAATGTTCTTTACAACATTTCCAAACTTTTCTCTCAAAGAATGCGGAAAATAGGAAAACTTATACGGCTGATATTATTGCCGAACAGTATAATTTAGATAAAAAAGTTGTAGGTATGTAAAACATTTTATTAAATTATTTTTTTATGTTCTGGGTTGCCATAGGCCATTTCTGACAATAATTTCATTTTAAATAACTTAATTCTTGAAGAACAATCATAAAATTATTACTCAAATTATTTAATGAATAATTTGATTTACATATTTCAAAATTAATTGAATTTTAAAACAGTTCCGTTTACTATTTTCGTAAATAAATTAATTTCAAAAGGTTAAAATTTGAAATTTTAGAAAATTTCAATTTTGAATAAATCTAATAAACAATTTTAAAGAACTTAGTCTTTTGAAAAATTTCAATACTTCAAATCTTTGGAAAATCTGAATCTTCCATAATTTTAATAATTATGTAGAATTAGTTTTTTTAAATATTATTTCAAAAAACTTTATTGCAATTTATTGGAAGAATTCAATTATCTTAATAAATATCAGAATTTTTCCTAAAAATTAAATTATTTTTAGCAATTTTAATAAAATTCTTTGCAAAATTCAATTATTTTCATAAATAACAATAATTGTTGATAAAATTCTACGCAAAGTATTAATTTTTTTCGTAAATAATAAAAATTTCACAAAAATTCAATTATTTTAATTAGAACTTGCATAAATTTTTTTGACAAAAAATCAATTATTTAAACAGTTTTTTTTACAAAATTCTTTGCAATAATTCAATTATTTTGAAAAAATTTTCCTCAATTCAATAATTTTCAGTATCTTCGATTTTAATAAACTTTTCCAAAAGAATTCCATTATTTGAAAATAATTTTAATAAAAATCTACGCAAACATTTAATTAGTTTCAAAAATAATAAAAATTTCTCAGGAATTCAATTCTATATAAATTTGTTTTTTTAAATTTCATGATTCAATTATTTTTATAAATAATAATACTCAAGGAATAATTTCAATTATTTTTAACACAATTTTAATAGATAGAATTTGAATTCTAATTTTAATTTTTAATTTTTTTTAATTTGAATTATCTTGATAAAAAAACAGAATTCTTACAGAAATTCAATTATTTTTACGAATTTTAATACAATTTTTTGCCATGTTCAATTATTTTTATAAATAGTAATGTCTATCACAAGAATTCAATTATTTTGAAAAGTAACAAAATTCTTATCAAAAATTCAATTATTTGAAAATTTTTTTTTAAATTCTTGTTATGAATTCAATTATCTGTATATTTATAAAGATTATTAAAAATTTTTAAATACTTAAACATTTTTTATTTTAAAAATTTTAATTTCTCAATATCTATACTATTTTCATAAAATCTACTAAAAGAATTCAATATTCAAAAAAAAACTTTATTATAATTTTACTCAAACATTCAAATATTTTCATAAATATTAAAATTCTTCTTAGGAATTCAATTATTTTCATAAATATTAAAACTCATCGTATAATTTCAATTTTTTTAAATACAATTTGAAATGAATTTCTCCAAGAAAGCAATTATTTTAGAAAATTTTATTAAAATTATGCTTTTGAATAAACAATTCTGTAGAACTGATATTTAAAAAAAAAATTTTTATTGAAATTCTATTAAAATTAATTGCATTTTCTTTGAGTGTTTAATAATTTTTAGAGTGAATCAGAATATTCTTTAGGGTCAGGGAGAAAGTCAGAATTTTTTCTGTAAACCAGGGAAAAATCAAGGAATGATAAAATTAATTTATTGTATGACAACCCTGATTTTGGAAAAAAGTTAATAATAATAAATATAATTAATATTCGTTTAAACTATCAATTAACATAACGTATATATTTTTTTTACAGAAAATATTTTAAAATACTACAGTATCTTTCGAATAGAGGTAAATAAGAAGACAAAAAAACCTTCCTCTATGGCATTGTTTGAAATACCTTCTGAAAGTAAAAAATAAAATTTTTCTTGTTGAAAATTTCTTTAATTCTTTGTATTTATCACATAAAATGTTTATAATATAAATTCTTACAAAAATTGCAAATTTTTTAATAATTAAAAAACTATTTTTAAAAGTATTTTTTTTAATTTGAAGAACGTAACAAATTAATTTAATTAATTTAACAAAATAATTTAATTAATTCAACAAATTAATTTAATTAATTCAACAAATTAATTTAATTAATTTAACAAATTAATTAGCACTTCTTAAAATACAAAAAAATAAACAGGTTCAAAAAAATTAGACTGAATAGAAAAAAGACAAATTTTTTTATTAAAATTAAAAAAAAAACTTTTAAATAATAAATTTCGACCATTTCAACTAATAAATTACATTTTATAAAAAAGAGAATTACGTTTTATAATTTACAGCTATTTTATAAAAAATCTCAGTAAATATCAAATTTTAATAATCCAAAGTAGAGAGTATGATTATGGTTTTTTTTCATATTAATAAAAAGAAAGTTTCCTTTTAGATAAAAATACCACAAACTTGACCAAATATGGTCATAAAATGAAGAATTGACTCACTTTCGATTCGACGATAGCTCTAGGTGGTAAATTAAAATGGAAAATAATTACAAAATTATCAAAACAATTAAAAAGAAAATTCCCCCACTAAATTAAAATTTATTTTGTTTAAATAATGCGGATAAAAATTAATTTTCCGAAAATTTATTAGCAAAAGTATTTCATTTGGAATTTTTTGAAAGAAACGAAGTCTGTGATTGGTGGGATTGAAAATTGTCCAGAAGTAAAGCGAATGGAATCTTAAATCGATGGAAAAATGAACCAATGAGAGAGAGGCCCTCATAGATGGGGAAGAAACTTTAAGGCGTGATCTTCAATTGTTATTATTTCTCAGGCCATTTGTGACTGTTTCGTTATACACGCGGCTCTGTAAGGATTTCAATCAATTATAACGTTTTTTTTAATTAATAAAACGCAATTATCAAGTGTAATAAACAATCGTAAGTCAAAATGTCAACAATGGCGAGTCCTTTAGTAGTTGGAGGTGTTCGACAATCCGGAGCTCCGGTTAGAACTCAAAATGGTAAGAAATCATAACCTCTTTTTTTTAATGATGTCTTAAAATTCTTAAAATCTTAAAATTTTGAAAATTATTTTCGTTTTTGACTTTGAATATTTCTTTTTCTATTTTTGAGCGAAAAGATAAAAATCTTAACTATTTAATGGAAAAATAAAATCATAGTTTTTCATTTTCGGAGCAAATAAAAAAATGTTAAGTTAATTTGTTTATACCAATGAACAATTTTGTTAAGGTATCTATTATAATGTTAATTAGATATGTTTTTTTAATATTTATAGTCATGGCATGTTCTGCAATTTCCAACATTGTCAAGAGTTCCTTGGGACCCGTTGGTCTCGATAAAATGATGGTTGACGATATTGGGGTAAGTAAATTAAAATTGTTATTTGTTTAATAATTTATTCAATAGTTTTGAAAGTGTGATTTTACTGCAGTTTTTCTCAAGGTAAACTGCGTTTAATTATTAATTTTTTGGGGGAATTCTCCCAGTGAAAGAGAAATTTCGTTGCTTTTTGTTTGTTTGATTGTAAATTTATTAATTTGAATGTTTTAATTCGTAAATTTCAGGATGTTACCGTAACAAACGATGGAGCAACAATTTTACGTCTTTTGGATGTTGAACATCCGGCTGCCCGTGTTTTAGTCGAATTGGCTCAACTTCAAGACGAGGAAGTTGGAGACGGCACAACATCAGTCGTATGTTTTTTTCATTTGTTTTTTTACTTTATTAAAAACTTCGCACTCATTTACTAAAATCTAATATTTCTGCGTTTATATTTTATATTATTATTTATAATTTCACTTAAAATAATTTAATTCTTGAATAACTATAATAAAATTATTACCTAGAAATTATTTAATCAATAATTTTACTTAAATATTTCAAAATTAATTGAATTTTAAAACAGTTCCGTTTACTATTTTCGTAAATAAATCAATTTCAAAAGGTTAAAATTTGAAATTTTAGAAAATTTCATTTTCAATAAATCTAATAAACAATTTTAAAGAACTTAGTCTTTTGAAAAATTTCAATACTTCAAATCTTTGAAAAATATAAATTTTCGATACTTTTAATAATTTTGTAGAATTAATTTTTTTTAACAAAATTTAATTTCAATTCTGTTGAAGTTAGTTGAATGTCTTATTAACTATTAAATATTATTTCAAAAATTTTAACGCAATTCTTCGAAAGAATTCAATTATTATCTTGACAAATATCAGAATTCCTTCTAGAAATTAAGTTATTTTCAGCAATTTTAATAAAATTCTTTACGAAATTCAATTATTTTCATAAATAACAATATTCATCACAAAAATTCAATTATTTTCAATTTTTTTTAAAAAAATTCTCGTCAAAATTTCAATTATTTTTATAAATAGCAAAATTATTCACCGAAATCTAAGTATTTAAACAAATTTTAATAATATTCTTGATATAATTTCACTTATTTTCAAAAATTTCTGAAAAGAATTCAATTATTTAAAAAAAAAAATGTTAATAAAATTCTACACAAACTTCCAATTTTTTTCGTAAATAATAAAAATTTCACAAAAATTCAATTCTTTTAAATAGAACTTGCATAAATTTTTTGGTCAAAAAATCAATTATTTAAACAGTTTTTTTTTACAAAATTCTTTGCAATAATTCAATTATTTTAACAAAATTTTCCTCAATTCATATATTTTCAATATCTACGATTTTAATAAACTTTTCCAAAAGAATTCAATTATTTAAAAATAATTTTCATAAAATTCTACTCCAACATTTAATTAGTTTTAAAACTTAGAAAAATTTCACAGGAATTCAATTATATACAAATTTTTTATAAATTTCTTCATAATGATTCAATTATTTTCATAAATATAATAATAATATTTTTTACAGAGATTCAATGTTTTCATGAATAATAAAACTTATTGTAGAATTTTAATTTTTCTATAAATTATATTTATTTTTGTATTAAAATAATTTATTTCCCGTAGAATTTTCTAATAAAAATTTTGAAAAATGTTAATAATATTCTTGGCATATTGGTTAAATTATTTTCTGATTGATTTCATTTTATGAACATTGAATTTATTCCTCTCAAAAAAATTACTAGAAAAATAATTTTATCGAAAAGATTTAAATTATTTTATTGATATATGTAGTTAAAAATACTTGCGAGAAACATCCCCTATAATTAAAATTAATAAAATTTTCTATTTTAATTAAAATTAATTTGAAAAAAATGTTCTACGCAGGTAATTATTGCAGCTGAATTGTTGAAAAATGCTGACGAGCTCGTGAAACAAAAAATCCATCCCACGTCTGTTATCAGTGGTTACAGACTAGCGTGCAAGTAGGTTCTTAACTTCTTCTAAAAGATTCTTTTTTATTATGCAGTATAACATTTTTTTTAATCAATTTTACCAATTAATTTGTTTTCTCTTTCAGAGAAGCGTGTAAGTACATTATGGAACATTTGACAATTAGTTCTGACGAGCTTGGCAGAGATTGTCTCGTAAACGTTGCAAAAACTTCCATGTCCAGCAAAATCATCGGAGCGTATCCTTTTCTTGAATTTTTTAAATAATACTTAAGAATAAGATAAAAAAATATTTAACAATTACATTATTTTTTATTAACATTGCAAAGGAGTTATCAAGTTATTATTTTATTATTTTATTTAACACTCTAAAGAAGTTATCGAGTTATTATTTTTTATTAACACTTATAAAGAAGTTATCGAATTATTATTTTCTATTAATACTTCTAAAGAAGTTATCGAATTATTATTTTCTATTAACATTCTAAAGAAGTTATCGAGTTATTATTTATATTTGATGATAGTTTTTTTAAGAGAAATATTCCAATTTGTTTTTCTTAACTCGTCGATAATAGAGACGCGAACTTCTTTGGCAATATGGTTGTGGACGCTGCGAATGCGGTGAAAATAAACGATGGCAAAGGTGGGCATATTTATCCGATAAAAGCCGTGAATGTATTGAAGGCACATGGAAAAAGTGTTCGAGAATCACTTTTCGTGAATGGTTACGCGCTTAATTGCACAGTCGCTTCACAAGCAATGCCGAAGAAAATTGTGAATGCAAAAATTGCCTGCTTGGACTTTGGTTTTCAAAAGGCTAAAATGAAAATGGGCGTTGAGGTTCTTATCACTGATCCTGAAAAATTGGAGGCCGTTCGTCAGCGTGAACTCGACATCACCAAGGAGCGCGTTCATAAAATTATTAATGCCGGCGCAAATGTTGTTTTTTTGAGCGGTGGAATTGACGATCTTTGCCTTAAGGTAAATGCGAAATTAATTCTCATTTTATGATTACAGTAACTAATCTTTTATTTAGGCCCAGTTTCACCAACTCCAATTAAAAGTTAATCAATGATTAAATCCTTATCCAAGTCTGAATAATTCTTATACCGAATGATAACTCAATTAACTAATTAATTAATTTATTTATTGTTTTCGAATAGTATTTCGTCGAGGCTGGCGCAATGGCGGTGCGACGTTGCAAGAAATCCGATATGAAGCGAATTGCAAAAGCAACTGGCGCTCAATTTTTGACATCATTGACAAACATGGAGGGCGAGGAGACATTCGAAGCAAGTTCCCTCGGCGAAGCTGCCGAAGTCGTTCAGGAATTGGTCTGCGATGATGAACTCATTCTCGTTAAAGGGTAATTATTCGATGAAATAATTAATAAATAATTTAATGCTAATACAAAATGTATTTTCCGAAATATTTATATTCAGTTATTTTTAATTAAAAAGTATCTTACCGCAGGGTTGTCACAAGTCAGGGAAATCAGGGAATTAAATTCATCAATAATTAAATTCTTTTTAGGAATTCAATTATTTTCATAATAAACAATAAAACTCATCGAGGAATTTTAATTATTTTTAATACAATTTTAATCGAATTCGTCGAAAAATGTAATTATTCTTAAAAATTTTATTAAATTTCGTCGAAAGAATTCAATTATTTAAAAATTTATTCATAAAATTTTTTATGAGAATTAAGTTTTAAGAAATATTCCATTTTTCAATATAATATTTTTTTTGTATTTAAATAATTGAATTCTCGTACAATTTTTTAATAAAAATTCATTTCAAAATTAATTTTAGGTAATAATTGAATATGAAATGCATTATAGCATGAATTTTTAGAAATAAAATTAAATTTTGAAAATGTTTCAAATTAAAATCTTTGAAAATTTGAATTTTTCATACTTTTAACTGACAATTCTATAGAATTCTATAGAAACAATTTAATTAAATTTTTTTTTTTGAAATTATTTCTTTTGAAGGATTGTAATTAAATTTTTGAAAATAATTACATTTTTTTGAAGAATTTACTTAAAATTGTATTAAAAATAATTGAAATCCGGTGAATAATTTTATTATTTAGGAAAATAATTGAATTCTTGCAACAAATTTTTATTACATTTTTTTAAATAATCGAAATCCAGTAAAGAATTTTACTATTTATGAAAATAATTGAATTTTTGCTTCGAATTTTATTACATTTTTTTTTAAATAATTGAAATTCTGTGAAGAATTTTATTATTTATTAAAATAATTGAATTCTTTTGAGAAATTTTATTAAAATAGTAGATTTCTTGAAAATATTTGAATTTCAGGGAAGTATTTCATTATTTGTGAAATGTAATTGAACTATTGTAAACATTTTTTGAAATTAATTATATTTTTGGAGGAATTCATTTAAAATTGTATTAAAAATAATTGAAATCCTACAAAAAATATTACTATTTATGAAAATAATTGAATTCTTACACAACGAATTTTATTACATTTTTTTAAATAATTGAATTTATGTAAAAAAAATTGTATTACTTGTAAAAATAATTTAATTCTTACACAGAATTTTATTAAAAAAATTTCTAAATAATAATAAATAAAAATAAATTAAAGTAAAAACTAAACATGAAATTTCAGACCGAAAGCAAGAACAGCGGCTTCTATTATTTTGCGTGGACCAAATGATTTCTACTGCGACGAAATGGAAAGATCAGTTCACGATGCTTTGTGTGTCGTTAAACGTGTTATGGAAAGCAAGAACGTCGTCGCCGGAGGTGGTTGCGTCGAAGCTGCTCTTTCAATTTATTTGGAAAACTTTGCCACTTCTTTGGTAATTTTTCATTTTTTATTATTAACTAGCACAATTGCTTTCAAAAACTTTAATTTCTGCAATTTTATTTCAGAGTTCAAGGGAGCAGCTCGCAATTGCTGAATTCGCTCGTTCATTGCTCGTTATTCCAAAAACATTGTCAGTGAACGCAGCACAGGACGCGACTGATCTCGTCGCAAAATTACGAGCTTATCACAATTCCAGTCAGACAAAAGTCGATCACGCTCATCTTAAATGGTTAGAAAAAAAGCAAAGAATTTGAAATAATTGTTAATTTCTACTTTTTGTGATTATAATGAAAAATTTTCTTTCAGGATCGGACTCGATTTAGTGGAAGGCACCGTGAGGGATAACAAAAAAGCCGGTGTATTCGAGCCAGCAATATCGAAAATAAAATCCCTCAAATTCGCCACCGAGGCGGCAATTACAATTCTCCGAATTGACGATATGATCAAACTCGATCCGGATCGTTCGAAAGATAAATCCTATCAAGATGCAATGGCCGCCGGAGAATTAGAGGATTGAGTTCTAATTATATTCCATACGTTTACATTTCGCAACAAAAAAAAAACTTTACTATTTTTTATGAATCACGTGATAATTGTTTTTTTTATTACGAGAATCTGTCACGAATAATTGACACTTAAAAACGTAATTTATATTCATTATCAAACAAATTAATCATCGCACTCGATTTTCTGCTTTCTTGAGAATAAAAAAAATGTATTAATTTTTTAATCGTCGAATAAAGCTTTCTTATTCTAAAAAATCAGTGTTGCCATAGAAATTTAATTTTGTTTTTTCCTGATTTTTGCTTTTGACTTTTTCCCTGACTTACATTTTTCGAAGAAATTGTTTTAAAATTGTATTAAAAATAATTTAAATTCTGCGATGAGCTTTATTATTTATAAAAATAATTGAATTCCTCGCAAGAATTTGATTATTTAAAAAGAATTGAATCCCTGAGAAGAATTTTATTACAATTTATGAAAATAATTAAATTCTTACGAGAAATTTTATTAAAATTGTTTAAATAATTTAATTATGATGAAAAACTTTATTATTTGTGAAAATAATTGAATTCTAGAGAAGAATTTTATTTAAATCTTTTAAATAATGGAATTCTATTGGTAAATTTCATAAAAATACAGTAAATATTGAAAATTTAATTATATAAATACTAAACTAAAATAAATAATTGCTTAAATTATTAAATGTTTCTTAAAATTGAATTCATTCAACGAATTTTATTATTATTATTATTATTTTTAACAATAATTGCATTTTTCGAAAAATTCAATTAAAATTGTATTAAAAATAATTGAAATTCTGCGATGATTTTAATTATTTATAAAAATAATTGAATTCCTAAAAAGAATTTTATTATTTAATATAATTGAAGCCCCAAAAAGAATTTTATTATAATTTATAAAAATAATTGAATTCCTGCGAAGAATTTTATTAAAATTGTTTAAATAATTTAATTCTTTTAACCAATATTGTTATTTACTAAAGTAATTGAATTATACAAAGGATTTTATTAAAACTTTTAAAATTTATTGAATTAATTCGACGAATTTTAATAAAATTGTTAAGAATATTATTTATGAATGTAATTGGATTCTTGCGAGAAAATTTATTAAAATTGTTTAAATAATTGAATTTCAATGAAAAATTTTATTATTTGTGAAAATAATTAAATTCTAGAGAAGAATTTTATTAAAACTTTTTAAATATTTGAATTCTTTTGATAAATTTTATGAAAATATAGAAGAAATTGAAAATCATTGAATTAAGAAATATTTTTGAGGATAATTGAAATTTTGTGAATAATTTTATTAAAACTTTTGAAAATAATTGAATTCCTAGGAAGAATTTAAATACTTTTGAAAATAATTGAATTTTTGTGATGAATTTTGTTATTTATAAAATTTATTGTATTTTGCAAAGAATTTTATTAAAATTGCGTTAAAACTTTTGAAATAATTAAATATAATTTTAAAAATTCAAATAATTTCAATAGAATTGAAATTAAAAATTATCAAAAAAATTACTTCCATAGAATTCTTAATTAAAAGTATGAAAAATTTAAATTTTCAATAATTTGAATTTTGCAAAGGATTTTATTATAACATTTGAAATTTAATTGAATGTTTTTTAAAATTCAATTCTTTCGACGAATTTTAATAAAATTGTTAAGAATAATTGCAATTTTAAAGGAAATAATTTAAAATTGTATTATAAATAATTTAATTTCTACAAGTAATTTTATTTTTTATGAAAATAATTGATTTCTTGCGAGGAATTTTATGAAAATTGTTTAAATAATTGAATCACGATGAAAAATATTATTATTTTTGAAAATAATGGAATTCTAGAAAAGAATTTTATTAAATTTTTTTAAATAATTGGATTCAATTGGTAAAATTTATGAAAATACAGTAGGAATTGAAAATAATTGAATTAAGAAATATTTTTGAATTGAAATTTTGTGAAGAATTTTATCAAAATTGGTTGAAAATAATTGAATTTCTACGAAGAATTTTAATAGTTTTGAATATAATTGAATTCTTGTGATGAATTTTGTTATTTATAAAAATTATTATAATTATTTTGCAAAGTATTTTATTAAATAAATAAATTAATTAAATAAATAAATAAATAAATTAAAATTGCGTTAAAACTTCTGAAATAATTAAATATAATTTAGAAAATTCAAATAATCTCAATAGAATTGAAATTATTCAAAAATATTAGTTAGTAACTAATTCAAAAAAATTAGTTCTATAGAATTGTTATAATTAAAAGTATGAAAAATTTAGATTTTCAATCATTTGAATTTGAAATCTTTTCTAAATTCAATTATTTGTAAACTTCTTTAAAATTTAACTCTTTTTTTTAATTTTTAACAAAAATTTTTCTCTAAATCATTCTAAAAATTGGTTTTTTTTCTTTTGGACTTTTAATAAAATTTCCTGACTTTTCCTTGTTCTGTAGCAAACCTGAAAAAGTTTTTTTAAATTTCATATTTGAAAAAATTGTTTTTTTTTAGGGAATTATGGTTTTGAAAAGAAATCTCATATCTTCTTTTTTTCTTGATTTTATCGATATGTTTCATAATATATTACAATTAATGATTTTTTAAAAATTATCTTCTATAACAAAACTATTAGATACATATGAAACTTCAAGCATAGTCATTATAGTTCTCAATACCAATAAAGTATGCCTCTATGCAACGTAATATTTTATACAAACTATTAATCGTGTATCTATCACTAAAGAGTTTTTTTTTTTACTAGAAGAATACGTATCACTTCCAAACACCCAACAATATATTTAAATTCCTTTTTTTCTAAATTCCATAAAAAAGACATTAGACAAATTAAAAAGAAAATCGTAAACAATTCGTTAAAACTCTAAAATTTACTTGTACTCGATAAATATTTATTTTTTTTTTACTTTTATTTATTTTTTTCATAAACTAAGAATTGAATAGAGGAAATAATTTTTTTTTTCTTCACCATAAGGAAAATTTTCATTCATTTTTTCTCTGTTTTGTCGACTACAAATTAAACTCGATTTTAAATTTCAACTAAATTTCTCATAAATTGAAATATACATATCATTAGAAAGTTGTATGGAGTAAAATTTCCAGTCGAAAAGAAATTATCGAAAATTCTCCCCATGGGAGAAGATGAAAAAGTAAATATATAATATAAACACAAAGAAAAAATTTTCAAATAGACAAAAAATAAATTTGTTAATAAAAAGAAGTGATATATATTCAATATTTTGTTAATTCTTAATATATATTTATATTATGTGTATAAATCCAAAGGCATCTTCGAAAGGAATTCATTTTTGTAAATTCCGTACAAAGTGAATAAAATTAGACGTATCTCTATTTCTTTCTTTCCTAAATTGACTTTAATTAACTTTCTTCACATCACGTTCAAAAGCCAAAAAAGCGCGAAATAAATTTTCTTTTATTCACGAGAAAAATGTTTGTATTCTTCTCTGAAGGAAAATTCCCAAACTTTCAAAATTATACACGTTTATTATCGTATTTATCACAAAATTCTTCCATGAAGAAATTTTAGAAATATTTTCTCTTATTCTTTATATGAATTTTTTTCAATTTATCAATTTATTTAAAGTCAAAAATAAAAAAAAATTATAATCGAGATACGTTTAATTTTTAAACTGTGAAATCCCGATGAAATATCGTCAATATGAGATCCTCGCCGGAATTGCGAAATAAATATTCAAGATCTACTATTGATAATAATAACATTCTAAATAATTTAGTTTCGAGAAAATATATTTCTCGCTCGACACAAATGACGGTTCTTCTCTTCTTTACCAGTAAAAAGAAATAAACAATTAAAATCAAAGTAACGACTAATATTTCGGTAATTGTTTTTAAACATATTTTTTTTGTGCTCCCATTTTTTTTTCTTTAAAAATCTTTTTCTTGAAAAAAAATGTACTCTTCTATATTTTTATGCATAATTTCACTGTGTTTTATTTTAAAGAAACGAAAAAATATATATATCTTCAGAGAGTAATTTTTTTTTTCAAGAAAAAAAAACAAGAAATTGATACAGAAATATTAGTTGTGACGTGATTTTAAATCACCGTCAGTGCTTATGTTTTATAATAATAAAATAATAAGTAAATATGCATAGTTCCATTTTTTTCTGCAATAAGTTTGGTTTTCTTTTTTTTCCGATAAAAAATAAAGATATTTATTTATTTTTTTTTGTTTTTTTCTCTCTACTTCTCTTTTTAAAGCGCTGGATTTTCAAACTTGGGTCCTTTGGTTACAACAATATCCGCGTAGGAATATTCTTGCATTAGTTCCAACACTTGAAATTTCTTTAGGACTAAAAGTGTGTAGAATTTCTGTGCAGCCTGTAAAAAAAAAGATAAATTATTATTTTCTTTTATTTTCTAATATTTTATATATTTTAATTAGTTACACTATCAATTTAGCCTCGGATCGATTTTAAGGCACAAAAAAAGTCGCTTTAGTCGATTAAAAATATTTTTTTAAAAAAATCGAAAAAGTCGTTTTCTTAATTCAGTGTTGTCAAAAAAATTTCATTCGGAATTCTTTGAACTTTCACCGATTTCTAAATTCAATTATTCAAAACTTGAATAATGTTAAATAAATATTTAAATATTTATTTTTCAACGGGAAATAAAATAAAAAAGTTCCAATTTAACACCTTATGAAATTTAATAATTTCTAAAAATTGAAACTAAAACCCTTTCAAAATTTTATTTAGGAAAATAATTAAATTCTCGCAAAAAATTTCGTTAACATTTTCTTAAATTCTAATTATTATATTCCTTTTTTAAGAATTTCATTGAATTTTTTTTTAAATAATGGAGTTGAATTTTTCGATTAATTAATTTGAAATAGTATTAAAAAATAATTGAAATTCTTAGATGGATTTTATTATTTATGAAAATAATTGAATTCTTGCTTAGAATTGTATTAAAAAAAATTGAATTCCCATGAAAAATATTATTAGTAAAAATATTTCAATTATTGTGAAGAAATGTATTTAATTTTATAATTTATGAAAATAATTGAATTTTATAAATATTTTTAAAAATAATTGAATTGTTTTGTGAAATTTTATGGAAATAGTATAGATTGAAAGAATATGAAGATTAATATAGTTAATTAATACGTTTAAGTTATGAAAAACATAAAAAGATATTATAATAAGATATACAAAGACATAATAGAAGAGACAAATTCTTACCTGCTTTCGATTATTTTTGTATGCCATTTCAGCGAGTGTTAATCTGTCTTTGGTCTCCAATTTACTTTTTATTACATGGTACATATGCGCTGCTCTCTTATTAAGAACACGTTCCTCAAACTGTTCGTACGTTTCGTCCACTTGCTGTTCTTCTTGCTGGAAATTTGCAAAAGAAACGAAGAAAAAAAATTAACAAAACAATTATTAAAAATTAATAAAGTTAATTTCAATTTTAATAAAGTTCTTAAAAAAATTACCGGTCCAACAGAAGGGGGAAATTCGTAATCGTCCTGATTCCAAGGCGATGCGGGTCCTCCTCTTTCCGAAATGGCACCAGGTGTATGCGCCGCAGGTTGATGTTCGTCGAATCCCATATATGAAACTGGAGGCTGTGTCTATAAACAAATCGAATTTGAAATAAAAATTCCTTTTCTTTTTTTTTTTTTTTAAAGAAAAAAAAATTGTCTTGTGCTACAAACCTGATCGTAACCCATGTTTTCCATTTGAGGTAAATGCGACATATCTTGTAATTGTTCCAGTTCTTGCATTTGATTTGGAATTGGTTCGGAAATTGGAATTTGGGGCAAGTGTTCCATACTTGATCCGTGATGAAGTGGCGTCTGCGAAGGATGTTCTAATTGTTCGTCCGCTTGTGGAATTGGTAGTTCATCATTCGTTCCAAGAAGCGAACTTACGTCGCTCGGTGGTATTTGCGGAATGTCCAAACTGAGAGCAGCTGGTACTTCCGGTACTGGTTCCATGATTTCCGATGGCTCCACAGACGCCATCATTCCTGAAATATCGGGAATCGACGGCTCCTGGGGCAATGAAACATCACCGGGCATTGGCGTTGCTGGCATTGGCGTTTGCGGTATCAAACTTGGTCCGTCCACGGGCTCAGCTCCTATCGACAACTGTCCAAAGTCCTCCGACTGTCTCAACTGCGGGGAAAAAATTAAAAACGTTTATTTTCTTTGAAATTTAAGAGAAAAACGAATCTTCTATCTCATAAGGAATTTTATCAACAAATACTTCTGTGAGAAAAATAAATAATTGACGAACCTCTTCGTCGGCAGGGGCCTTGCGCTTGCGACCCGATCGTCTTCCCAAGAAGCTCTGCTCGAACGTTGGTTCTGGTTCTCCGGCTTCTCTCATTTGTTCCAAGGGCATTGCGTCCTCCTCGCCACCGATTCTACCAAAGTCCTCGTGATCGTAGGATTTACTCGTCAAATGTCTCTGGTAATTCTAAAACCAAAAAAAAAAGAATATTATAGTATTGACAAATAAAAAAAAACAAATAAGAGTTTGCTATTTCGCTAACCTTGAACAACACTCGGGCGGGTATCGGTCTTCCTGGGAGGGCAAACAATTTCTCAACACCTCCAGTTTCCTTCCAGTGCATTAATCTCTTCGTCGGCGGCGCCAAGTCCAAAGTCGTCACAATATCACTTGTATCCGAAAGTTGTGCCTTCATTTCCTCACCGGAGATATTTTTCACTTCGTCAACAATCAACTTGCGCTTGCGTTTCGCTTTCGTGAAACCTGAAAATTTATTTTTAAATTAAAATTTAGATCTTGATTTAAAATAATCGAATTTGTCTTCACGTGAATTTAGTGCTTCTTGATTTAAAATAAATTGAATTATTGAGTTTTTAAAATAAAATTTTGTAAATTTACCCTTGAGTGCAGAGGCGTCGACGGGAGCGAGAGCGAAACTTTCCTCCTCGTCATGAAGTAATGTCGTCTGTTCCTGTACAGGTGGTGGAATATCCTCAATGGAATCCATTGCATGATCTTCAGCGATTGAAGGCGGTGCGGGAGTAAATCGACGACTAGCAACACTCGCTCTATCAGTGAGATCGTCACTCGCCATAGCCGGAGTCGCAGCTCTTGAACCGTCACTGCTACTTTTGGGAGAAATTAAAAAAAAGTTTATAAAAAAAAAATTCAAATGCGACGAAATGCGGAGTGAAAAACAAAAATTCAATTTACCTCATTCCACCCATTGGAGAAGGCGCACCACCACCAAAGTGATCGCCCATATCATCATCGTCAGAGTCATTATGAATTGACGCCGCAGTCACCGCGGCAGCGGACACGGCTTCCTGTTGATCGGTAATCGAACTAACTTCAGGTACAGGTACTTCTCCCATTGGCGCTTCATCGAAAAGACCCCCTTCAAATAATCCACCAGCTGAAAACGAATTATTTTATTAATAAAGTACATTTACCTAGATATTAAATGGAGATCGTCTAACATTTGCAGGGTTTGCCACATAAAATTAATTTTGTTTTTCCCTGATTTCCAGGCAAAATTTTCACTTTTTCCCTTGACTCTAAAGAATATTCTGATTCACTCTACAAATTATTAGATACTCAAAAAAATATTCTATTACATTTAATACGATTTTTTTTTAATTGGAAAATTATTCGAAAACATTAATAAATTCTTTTTTTTAAATAAATATTTAATCAATATTATTATTCCATAGGAATTAAGATTCAACAACTTCACGAAGAGAAAATATATTTTAAATTTTGTAAAAGTATTTAACAATTTAGGGAAAAAGTATACAACAAACGGAAATTTTGACATAAGAATCCACTTTAACAAAAGCTATAAAATAATAAAAATTCAAAATATATATGAATAGAAATAGTTGAAATATCTTACAAATAATATCCTGGCCTAAATGACCACCGAAACCATCGTCTCGAATTGGTGTGTCAATATCCATTGGCTGCGCTGTTGCCGACGTTCCAGCTACTGGTTCCTTCTCCTTTTGCTCCAAACTCGGCTCCATTCCGGGCTCGCTGAACAACATATGCCCCTAAAAATTTGTCAATTTTTTTTACAATTCTATCCAATTTGGAAAATCTAGATCTAGAATATTTAAACAGTAAGTGAATAAAAATTACTTGATCTAGCGTGGGCTCCATACTCGTAGCATGACGAAGTAATTCCGGTGGTTCCGCGTCAAAACTCATATCACCAAATCCTTGATCGTGAGTAGCTAACGATAGACTACCATAATCCTCTCGCATCGTAATTTCCTCGGCTCTCGACTGATTTAAACTGAATTGTGCCTCGATATCCACATCCCTTCAAAAACAAATAAACACTTAATACTCCTTCAATTTTCAATTTCCAAATATTTTATAATAAATATAATATAAATATAAATCATGATTAAAATGAAAACATTTTGATTTAAATTATAAACAGCACTGATAATATAAATAAAAGATATTTTGCTAATGAAATAAAAAATAATTTGCAATAAAGAGGGCAATTACTTCAATTCAGGCATTGGAGTATCAAAATCGTGAAAAACTTCCGGAAGTGTAATTGCATTGACAGCAGCCTCACGATGTTCCTCAGGTAAATCGACCATTCCAGGTCTAAATGCCATTTTAATTTTGACAAATGCCTCATTACAATCAGCCAACAGATATTTTGCCTTTCTCGAATAAATTCGCACCACTCCAAGTAACAAGTGACCAGATGTTCTCAGTGCCATTTTTACCTGTCGAAAAATTAATATTACATCAGGGCAAAAAAAGAAAAAATATTCCATACAGAAAATAAATTCTTTCAAAACATAAAAAGAGAAATTTTCATAATTATTTTTACCTTTGGCTGAAGAATTCCGTCAACAGATTTTTCAATATTCGTTTCAAAAACGTGGGCCTTGGTCAATTTTTTGTCCCAATGTGCAGCGAGCCAAATTCGGGCCAATGGGCCCTTTTTGGCCAGGACAAAGTGTGCGTAAAACATTTTTCTTCCTTTCTAAAATTCTACGAAAGAATAATTCAATTTTATCATTTCGTCAAAATGGAGTAAATTGAATAGAAATTATTAAAACTGATTAAAACAATATGACAAAACATTCTTTACTGGAAGGGGGGGTGTTTCTCTTTTTTTTTGAGAAAAAACAAAAACATAAAACAATCAATTCTCGAAAAATGAAAATTAATAAATTCGAATGGCAAAAATTTTATTTCCCCACTATAAACTGTATTATTTTTTCACCTGAACAGATTTTATTTAAATAATTCTAATTCTAAACATCAATATGTTTATGTCAAAAAAAAAAACTTGTTGTCAACAGCACTTAAGATGGCGTCACTCCCTAAAATTTTTGGCGGTTTGTATAAGGATGAAAGAAAATATTGCATTTTCTAACAAGAATCACTTACTTCTCTTAACACTTTATTGTTCACGTTAATCGTCAGCTTTTCGGTGTCTCATTTTCATCGATAATATTCCCTTTATTTATTGACAAAATGTCAAGAAACAATAATGGTAACAACACTCACAAACACTCACACTGTGGGGTCCCACCGCGTCTTAACTGTTTCTCGAGTGCGCGTTCCCAAACACATCAAATAATGACCTGTCGGACATTTTGAATTTTCCACCAATTACCATTAATTTGAATAATTTAAATTGTCCAATTTTCATTTTCATGTTTATTTGTAAATTTACAACAAAAAAAAATGAAAAGAAAAAAAATGCTTTTGTAACAAAATAATAGTAAATTGTTCAATGAAATTAATTTTTTTATTCTGAAAATAAGTCATCTAGTTTTTTGTCAGATATAAAACTTTGCTCTATTGACGCCAGATGGCACATGGAGCTAGGGCGCGAATTTTCAAAATAAAATTTGTCAAACATAAATGTATTTTATGAATTATGTTTATAAAAATATTTTTTACATTGAAATATTCATTTACAATATTTAAATATTTATTTATATTGTTAAATAATAAATATTATTAATTATTAATAAAATTCTTAAAATGTTTACAAAATATTTTTAAATATTAACATAAACTATATAAAATTAATCAATTAAAAATTAATTAAAAAAATATAAATTTTATTAAAAAATCAAAAAATCAATTAAAATTTACTATAAAAAGTAATAGTTTTTACAAATAAATATTTATCAGTTTGAAATAATTAAATGTGTGTGATAAAATAAATGTTTTTAAAATACGGATATAAATCAAGGTAAGGTAAAAAAATAATATTTAAATATTTTTTATTTATAAATTTATTATTATGCAAATTGCAAAATTTTTTATTTTCAAATTTAAATTTTCGAATAATTTCTTAATCAATAAAAAATTCACTTATTTAAGTACATAATGAATTATTATTGTTAATATTCTCAAAATTTTCAATATGATTCTTCGCAAGAATTCAATTATTTTCATAATTAATAACATTCTTCGGAAGAATTCAATTATTTTTATAAATAGTAAAATTCTTCACAGAAATAATTCAATTATTTTTTAAAAATAATAACTTCTTTGCAAAAATTCAATTATTTTCAAATTATTTTAATTTTTTCCTTCTCGTATTCAAATATGTTCTTTAAAACTCAAGAAATTTTAATTATAATTCCAAAATTCAATTTTTTAAAAAATAATTAAAATAATTCTAATTAATTAAAAAAAAATCTCGAAAAATTCAATTATTTCTAAAATTTTCTGTAAAATTTATTTTAAAAATTTAATTATTTTCAAAATGTTTAAGAAATTTCTTGATAAATATTAATATTTTCTATAAAAATGACAAAATGACACAAATTGTTTATAAACATTCAATTATTATTTTTAAATTTTTTAATAAAATTCTTGAAAAATTAAATTGCTTTTTATAGAATTTATAAAAACTAATTCTCCAGAATTTTAAATACAATTTCTTTAAAGAATTCAACTATATATTAATAAGTATTAAAAAATTTTGATTAAATTCTTCGCAAAATTTTAATTATTTTTAAAAATAGTAAAATTCTTCGCAAGAATTAAATTATTTCTATATAAATAATAAAATTATTCACAGGAATTCAATTATTTTCAATACAATTTAAATAAACTTCAATAATGAAATATTTAATTATAATTTTTAACAGACACAATTATTTTAGAAATTTGAAAAATTCTAATTTAATTTAATTAAATTAATTTTTTTAAATTTAATTATTTTCAAAATTTCCCATTATAACATTATTCAAAAACTACATTATTTACAAAAACTCTTAATTCAATCATTTTCATGGCACATTAATTTTAAAATTTAAAATATTTAAAAAGAAACAAATTTCTATTATAATTGAAATACAAAATGTTAATAAATAAATTGTATTTAATAAAATATATTGTCTCAAAAATAAGAAACTACCAAAGAAATTTTGTTTTTAAAAAAATTAAATTATTAAAATATTTAATATGGAACAAAAATATTTTTTTTTTCTTAAGAATGTATGTTAATGTATGTACTTGACAATTTTTTAACTTTAGAATTTTTTATTCCTATCTCTATGTGATTTTCATTAAATATTGTGTTTTTAACTTTATCGAAAATATATATTTTATTTTAAAGAAAAATTAATTCCATAATGAAACCATTTTATATCAAAAATTTATATTTTACAAATTATCACAAGAAAATTAAAAAATTCATTTTCTATGTTCTTCTCTATAGTAAATAGTATAGGTAATAATTTAAAAAAAATGTTTTTTAAAAATGTTACAAAAATTTTGTTCTTTAATAAAAAAAACATTTATCTAACACAGAATCACAAAATTTAAGATGGCGGATCCAATATGGCGTCGATTTTTATTAAAATTCATCCAATTCGCCTGAAACTTGTTACTCGGGGGTTTCTGGGGTTGATAAATACGAATTTCACCTTAGTTTTAAAAAATTCAAAATGGTGGATCCAATATGTCTGACCAATTTTTAAAAAAATTTATTGGATTTACCTGAAACGTTATACTCGGGGTTGTTTTTTGGGTCGTTGAATACGATAATTTCACGTTAGTTTTCAAAAATTCAAAATCTGATACATTTTTTAAAAATTCGTCAGCCATATTGGATCCGCCATTTTGAATTTTGAAAAACTATTCAGCGACCCCAAAAACCCCTTACCCCCGAGTAACAAGTTTCAAGTAAATCTGATAAATTTTTAAAAAACGGTCGAATAAAATTCATTTTTCTAATAATTTTGCATTTGTAACATTTATTAAAACAAAAAAACAAAAAATTTTAATCTATTTAAAAAAAGTGAATATTTTTCAAGTCAGCAAAAAAATGGAGGATTTTTTTTATCTTTTATTAATTTCATTGATTGGCAATGCCGGATCTGTAATAAATCACCGGAAATATTTGCTATCAGTCTAGGATCATTTTGTGTACAGTGCTCCTTGAGTTTATAAATAACGACTCAATATATATTGTTCTATTCACATGGGTGTGGTTACGAAACGAGTTCATTTTTTTTTCACTACATACAATTACTTGTACTTATTTGACCTCCAAGTTATTTATTTTTTATTTTTATAACGCTCCTAAAGTTTATATGCTTGTAAAATTTATTTAAAAAAAAATTTTTTTTTTATTCATTATTCAAAGTTCTTTATATGATTTTAACAAAATTTTGTGCTTTGAAGATGATTGTAATATTTGATGTGTAGAAAATTTTTAACGAGCGGTTTTTAAACTATATTTTCAATTAAAAATTCGTTTTTAGAATTAATAATATTGCGATATTACCACTTTTCAAATAATTACCGCGCTCTGTTAGTTTGTTGAAATGCATATTGTCTTTAGATAGCGCGCAAGTACTCTCGCAATCGTTATAATAACGCACTCCTGAGGGAAATTTTCCTTTAAATATTCTATTAATTCTGAAATGGAAATATATTTTTTTTTGAAAATACTATCATAATAATAGAAGAATACATAGATTTTAATAATTTAGAAATATCGGTATTTATATAAAATTGACGCAAATCCGTTATTATGAAATAAATTAAATCCTGAAAATTTCAGATTATAATTTATTTCATAATAACGGATTTTGTTTAATTTAAATTACAATGGTATTTTTTTTCCAATGTAATACCATTCAATTTTTTTGCTACTGGATTCGATATTTTTTTATTTGTCAAATATAAATCAAAGTTCGAATACTAGTTCAACGTATATTATAGTCGGATGCTAAAATGTCTGTCATTATTTAAAATGAGATAAAGGAAGAATTTATTATTAATGACTTTTGTAGTATTATTCCGCAAGTGACATGAAATAGTGACAGATTAAAATGTAACAATTTCGAAGTTATGAAAAATGACTAATTTTGAAATAACAAGGAATTTCCTGTATCGTGGGTGAACGTGTAATTCTCAAGGTCATGGTTATATTTTATTATGCATATAAGACGTTTTAAATATAGAATGATTTTATATTTTAAAGATTGATTTTTAATATAAAATTTAGTTTTACATTTATTTTTAAATTCATTTTAAAATTTTTTTAAAAAATTTATTTTTAAATTTATTTTTAAATTTATTTATATTTACTGTATTTTTGATATTATTTAATTGAATGATACAATTTATCAATTCTTGCCACTAAAGTCTACTTAACTGTTTAGTGTATAGTTTATTTTATATGTAAAAGCAACGTAGCCGGATTTAAATTCAAGAACACGTTAGGTAGGCCTAGATATTTTGCATTTCGTAATTTTGTCGCAGGGTACATGTGTATACGATTCATGATTCACTACTTGGCAATGCCTTTAGAAAAACTATGATCTTTCTTGGAAGATAAACTATAAAAGTACTTCAATAAAAAGCGCGTGTGTTACTTGTAGGAAGAAAAATTTTTTCTACATAACTTCTAAAGGGCTGTATGGATAAAATAAAAGAATAGTACATCAAAAACTTTTCTACACCAAACCACCAAATTTTTATTTTAAAGCAAAAAAATATATATATTCCTATATCTTAAGATATCATCTTAAGATATCAAAAGAGAGAATTTTCATAAAAGAAAAGAAAAACTGTTTTTGTATCTATATATATAAATACATTGATTTTGAAAATGACTGCGGGGTGTAAGTATAAACACCTTTCAGACACTATTGAAATAATTCCTTAGCAGATTATCTCATTAACCTATAGGTATAAATTTACTGACAGCAGTGCAGGTAGTCCAATGGGTCCTAAAGTTCCTGCGATAAACACACTAATACATTTTCTAAAGGAATAATAAATTTTCCACTACATAGTTTCGAAAATAATTTTACTTTTCTGAAGGCTAATAAAATTTTTATTGTTTTATACACTGGGGCCTCAAAAACTTCATGTTCTAACAAGTCAAGATAAAGCTTCAAATTTCTCAATGTACATTGCAACGGATCTCATAGGATACAGAAAGGTTGTAGGTAAGATCTAAATTATTCATCGCTAGTATTTTTACAAAAAGCAGGGCTGAAAATGAAAAATTACGGACCAATTACTGACAAAAATATAACCAGTCTGAGTCAAATAAGAGAATATTTTACTTAAACCAATAAATTAAATTTTTATAACTATATAAAACATGAAGAAATCGATCTCTTCGACTCGGAGTGATTCCTGTTTTATAATAATAATTAAAGATGGCCCAGTGATGAAATCATTATTTAACTAACGTTTAGATAGCCGAATCTTTTTATCGATTTACTCCTTATTGTTCATAAATTTTTTTTAAATAAAAAACTATACTAAAATTTGTGCAAATTTACCGGCCCTCTAAAGGTTAATATTATAAGAATATTATTGTTACTCTAACATCTTCAAAATTATTTTCATCATTTCAATTCAATTATTATTTTCGAGAATTTTTAACTAAAATAATAATTAAATAATTGAATTTTTCGTGAAAAATTTTATAATTTATAAAAATAATTGAATTTTTGTGCAGAATTTTATTTAATTCTTTCTTTAAATAATTGAATTCTCGTGAAAACTTTTAATATTTGGGAAAATAATTAAATAAATGTGAAGAATTTGAAGAAAGAATTTAAGAAATTATCAATTTTTTAAAAAGTAATTGAATTTCTGAGAAGAATTCAATATTATTTATGAAAATAATTGAATTGTTGCGAAGAAATTTTTTTAAATTCTTTTTAAATAATTGAATTTTTGAGAAGAATTTTATTTAATTCTTTTTAAATAATTGAATTCTTGTGAAAAAGTTTATTATTTATGAGAAAATTGAATTTTTGCGAAGAATTGTATTTAATTTTTTTTTAAATAATTGAATTTTCGTGAAAAAGTTTATTAATTTGGGAAAATAATTGAATAAATGTGAAGAATTAAAGAAAGAATTTACGAAATCTTCAATTTTTTAAAAAGTAATTGAATTTCTGAGACAAATTCAATTATATTTATGAAAAAAATTGAATTCTTGCGAAGAAATTTTTTAAATAATTGAATTTTTGAGAAGAATTTTATTTAATTCTTTTTAAATTAAATAATTTAATTTTCGTGAGAAAGTTTATTATTTATGAAAAAATTGAATTTTTCCGAAGAATTTTATTTAATTTTTTTTTTAAATAATTGAATTTTCGTATAAAAGTTTATTATTTGGGAAAATAATTGAATAAATGTGAAGAATTAAAGAAAGAATTCAAGAATCTATCAATTTTTTAAAAAGTAATTGAATTTCTGAGAAGAATTCAATTATTTATGAAAATAATTGAATTATTGCGAAGAAATTTATTAAAATTTTTTAAATAATTGAATTCTTTTGATGTTTTTAATAAAATTTCTATGAATAATTATACATTTTTCGAGGAATTCGATTAAAATTGAACCAAAAATAATTAAAATCCTGAGACGAGTTGTAATTTATACGAAAATAATTAAATTCCTGAGAACAGTTTTATTATTTATAAATAATAATTGAATTATTGCGAAAAAATTTATAAAAAATTCATGAATAATTGAAATCCTGGTAAATTTATATTATTTATGAAAATAATTAAATGTTCGCGTAGAAATTTATTAAAATTTTTATAAATAACTGAATTTCAGCGAAGAATTTTGCTGGTTTATAAAGATAATATTGAAATCATGAAGAAATTTTTTTTTTTAATTTTTGAAAATAATTGAATTTCTGAAAATAATTTTATTCTCGTGATTAATATTGTTATTTATAAAAATAATTGAATTTTTTTAAAAGTCAGTTTTTAGATTGTAATATAATTTGTGTTTTGAGGTTTAGGCCAAAGAATTCTTTAGCCTAAACCTCAAATTATAATTGAATTTTGCAAAGAATTTTATTAAAATCCTTTAAAATAATTGAATTTCTGGGAAGAATTTTGATATTTATCAAGATAATTAATTTCTTTCTAAGAATTGCGTTAAAATTATGGATATAATGTTAAATACATATTAAAATAATTCAACTAATTTCAACAGAATTGAAAATAAAATTGTATTGAAAATAATTGAAATTATTATTTGTGAAAATAATTGAATCCCTAAAAAGAATTTTATTTAATATTATTTATATTTTATTTTTATTTAATCCTACTATATTTAATTTTTTTTAGTGTTTTTAACTAAAATTCTTGTACAAATTCAATTAAATATATATTAGAAAATAAAAAATTCAAAAAAATAATTTCAAGTAAAATTGAAATATACTTTTTCAAAAAAAATTAATTCATCTACAGAATTGTTATAATTAAAAGTATGAAAAATTTAAAATTTCAAAGATTTTAATATGAAACATTTTCAAAATTCATTTATTTCTAAAAATTCACGTTATAATGCTTTTAATATTCAATTATAATCTTAAATTTAAAGTCAAATTCAGTTGTAAATCAATTTTTATTAAAAATTTCCACGAGAATTCAATTATTCAAATAAAAAAAATAATTTTTTGAATAATTGAATGTTTCTAAAAATTGAATTGTCATTAAGAATTTTATCAACAAATTTTTAAATAATTGAATTCTTTCGACGAATTTCAATAAAAGTTTTATGAATAATTACACTTTTCGGGGAATTCCATCGAAATTGCATTAAAAATAATTGAAATTCTGCATTGAATTTTTATTATTTATAAAAATAATTGAATTCCAAAAAAGAATTTTACTAACGAAAATAATTGAATTCCTGTAAACATTTTATTATTTGAGTCCCTGAATTCTATAACTGCCGCTGCGCGCGGTTTGGAAGGGATAGTACCAGTCAGGTAGCAATGAGCGTCTCTGGGCCGTTCACTGCTATACCTGACAGGTATTATCCCTTCCAGACCACGCACAGCTGCTGTTAAAGAGTCCAGGGGCTCATTTATGAAAATAATTGAATTACAGTAGAACCCAGGTTAACCGAGGTCACTTTATTCGAGGTGATGGCGTCAGACGAGGAAATACCAATTCAATCAATTTAGTCAAATTTCTATACTTTTCATCGGTCAGGTTTGTACTGCTTAAAAATTGTCTAGAGTTATTAACAGCATATAAAATTTCAACAAAAATTAACCTTGTACTCTAATGATACAGCAATATATGGCAGAAAAAATCAAATTGCTGCAATTTTATTGGAAAGCAATCTGCAGTAAATGGTTCTATGAAGTTTAGGGAATCTTGATGAATAATAAGATGGAAAGACAACTGGATTACTGGATGAATTAATTCCTTAATGCTGATTGTATATGGATGTTAGGATACAGTTATAGAAAATGTGGGTTAGTAAATAATCCATTGGGTGGTAACATGTTTCCAATATTTGAACATTAAAAAACTGTTTGAATAAACTTGAAGCACCTAAAGTTGCAACAGCATTGAAAATATTGGTTTTGTATTATAATACTGGAACAATATTGCAGAAAACACAATATTTCCACTAAAGCTGAAATCTCATGTGCTACAGACGTAAGTGCAGTTAATAAACCACTGGAGGTTCGAAATGCTTGATGAATTTTAATTTTGGACAATCACTGGATTATTGAATAGATGAATTCCTTAATTGATAGCTGATTGTTTAGATGAAGTATACATTGAAAATCTGAATGTAATATGACGCGAAAAAGTTGATGAATAATCCATAAATATCCATCAACTTTTGAGCGTGTCATACTAACTACTAATCTAGTCAAAAATGGCTAGATTCACCAACAACATCTAAAATTGCCACAAACATTGTTTCGGTATTCGAATGCAGCAGCAGCATTGCCGAAAACACAATTTTTGTCAGTATTTCTGCAATTTTACTGGCTCCAAAGATAATTGGAGTAAATAATCTCTTATTAGAGATCAGAACATTGCCTCCATATTCTAATGCTGCAGCAATATTTTCCAGAAACACACAACATTGGTAAAGTTGTTGTAATGGACAGTTTTGAGTTGATCATCATTTTCATGTTCTTGTCGAAAATATTTTTCCTAAAATATATAGTGTTTTCCTAAAAACATAAGAAAGACCCAAAAATATTCAGTGGGGGCTGTGGTTACAAATATTCTCGGGGTGTTTTCAGCCCAAATGAAGATCCCACCCCTCTTCAAGACGATTGGTTCATTGGTTCATCTACCTGCGATTGCCCAATTACCTGAGAGCTTAATGAGTCAACTAGATCACAATATCCCTCTATGATGTCAACTACCCTTCAGATTCAGTCTGAAACTTGCCCAAGTAAGACGTGTTCTAAGTATTCTCTTTTTTCTGGAAAAATGTTCTCCCCATGTCTACGTGAATCATTACATTTTGAAGTATTGTGGATGCGAATTCTCGATGTGGAAACCAAAGAAGTACTTTGGGAAAGTAAGGGCAATATGACATTCACCGAAAATGAACAACGTGTTGAAATACCAGAAACATGTGGTGGAATAATTCGTGAAATTAAATTTTCATCATTCAAGACAATACCTTGGTTTTGTATGGAGCAAAAGTTGTTATTCAAAGGCAAGGATCTGAATAAATGGTCATACGAATCAAGTCATTCCGGTGAGAAGACAGTGACGGCAATGGAAATTGTGAGGATACCAGTTGATATTCTTAGCGGGGAAATAACAATGGTGACAACATTCACAGTCAAGGAATACATTATTTCCTTAAATCGTTTAAGATTCTTCAAAAAATGAGAATAATAATCGGCCCTTTTCAGGGCCAACAATTTTTATTACGTTGGAATTTATTTTGTTCTTGCAAACTCAAGGAAACTACTTTTTAGGACCCATAATTACTGTAGATAGTACATAATTATTATAATCATTCTAGTAATAACTGCATTGAATAACTGATTTTTAATAATTTGTTTTTTTGTTCTAATCAATTTTATTTGCAGCATATGTTTAGAAATTAATTCATATTTATTAGCATTTATACCAAAAATCATCCGCTCATTGTTCAATATGTTCTACATTCTCATCTCATCCATCTATACATATCAATCTTTGCAGCAACATTAATAATGTTCTATTTTTCTACAATATTGCTGCCGCAATAGAATATGGAGGCAATGTTGTTGTAAATTTATGTTCTGTTGGAAAATCCAAAAAATTTTTAACTGGATAAGTAATATATATATGCCATAACTCAACGAATAGTTGACAACTGTTCTAATCAGCTGTCTGCTAAATCCAAACACAGGCTTTGCACAGCTCTTCTATACTAAAAGCTAAAATTCGAAATTCATTTTCAATATCTAGTATTTTCATAAAATTTAGCAAAAGAATTCAATTATTTAAAACAAAAATTGATAAAATTCAATTATTTTCATAAATAATAAAATTTCCACATGAATTCAATTAATTTAGAATATCATTATCGAAAAAATGTGGAAAAAATAAATTTAACAAAATTTTTTATACAATTCTTCACAATAATTCAATTAATTTCACTAACAATAACATTTTTCATGGAAATTAAATTATTTAATGTTTCATAAAATTCTAAGCAAGAAATTCAATTATTTTCATAAATATAATAAAAGAAGAATTGAAAAATCGAAGAATTTCAATTGTTTTTAATACTATTTTATTAAACTAATTAATAAAAAAATTCAATTATTTTCACAAATAAAGTTTTGCACAAGAATTCAATTATTTACAATAAAATTTTCATAATATTTATTATATTTTGAAAAAAATTAATTATTTAAAACAATGTTCATAAAATTCTTATGAAGAATTCAATATTATTTTCAAAAATAACAAGAAAATTCCTAGAAATTCGATAGTTTTTAAACATTGTAATAAAATTTTTTAGTAATAATTTAATTATTTTCATAAATAATAAAATTCTTCTCGGGAATTTAATTATTTTTGAAAATTTTAATGAAATTCTATGCAACTATTCAATTATTTTCATAAATAATAAAAATTCATCGCAGGATTTCAATTATTTTTAATAAAATTTTTCAGGAATTACTCAAAAAGTGTGTAATTACTCTTAAAAAATTAATTTCAATTTTTCGAAAAAATCAATTATTTAAAAAAATGTTTTTTTTAAATTCTTTGGAAGAATTCAATTATTTACGAAAATATTCGAATTTTTCACAGAAATTCTGTTATTTTTAAATATTTTAATAAAATTGTTCGAAAGTAATCAATTATTTTAAATAAAATTTTAATTAAAATTATTTTGAAATAATTGAATTATTATTATTATTCTTATTAATTATTCTTTTCAAGAATTCAATTATTCTTATTAATTATTCTTCCCAAGAATTCAATTATTTTCAAATATTTTAATAAAATTCTTCCCAAGAATTCAATTATTAAAGATAAATAACAAAATTATTTCCGAAAATTCAATTATTCTGAGGAATTTTAATAAAATTCTTTGAAAAATTTAATTTTTTTCATAAATAACAATATTCTCTACAAGAATTGAATTGTTTTTAAAAGTAATACATTTTTGTATGGAAATTTAATTATTTAAAAAAATGTTTCTAAAAATTTTAAGCAAGAAATTCAATTATTTTCATAAATAATAAATCTTATCGAAGAATTTCAATTATTTTCTTTATTATTTTTAATTAATTAATCGGAGAATTCAATTATTTGCACAAATAAAGTTTTCCACAAGAATTCAATTATTTAAAATAATATTTTCATAATATTTAAAACATTATTTACAGAATTCATATGAAGTATTCAATTATTTTGGAAAATTACCAAATCTTTAACAGAAATTCAATTCTTTTTAATCATTTTAATAACATTTTTTCGTAATAATTCAATTATTTTCATAAATAATAAATCTTATCGAAGAATTTCAATTATTTTCTTTATTATTTTTAATTAATTAATCGGAGAATTCAATTATTTGCACAAATAAAGTTTTCCACAAGAATTCAATTATTTAAAATAATATTTTCATAATATTTAAAACATTATTTACAGAATTCATATGAAGTATTCAATTATTTTGGAAAATTACCAAATCTTTAACAGAAATTCAATTCTTTTTAATCATTTTAATAACATTTTTTCGTAATAATTCAATTATTTTCATAAATAATAAAATTCTTCTCAGGAATTCAATTTTTTTTTGAAAATTTTAATAAAATTCATAATAACTGTTCAATTATTTTTATAAATAAAAAAATTCATAGCAGGATTTCAATTATTTTTAATACAATTTTTCAGGAATTGCTTAAAAAATGTAATTATTCTTAAAAATTTAATTTAAATTCCTCAAAAAAATAAATCATTTAAAAAAATATTTTTTTTAAAATTCTTTGGAAGAATTCAATTATTTACGAAAAATTCTTCAAAAGAAATCAATTATGTCAAACAAAACAAAATAATTCCCAAAAATTTAATTATTTTGAGGCATTTTAATAAAATTCTTTGCAAAATTCAATTATTTTCATAAATAACAATATTCACCAAAAGAATTGAATTGTTTTTAAAAGTAATTAATTTCTTCTTTGAAATTCAATTATTTAAAAAAATTTTAATAAAATTGTTCGCAAGAATTCAATTATTATTTTCATAAATAATAAAATGATTTTTAGGAATTCAATTATTTTCAAAAAATTTAATTATTTTTAAAAACTTTTTGCAATTCAATGATTTTCAATATCTACTATTTTCAGAAAATTTCCAAATAGAATTGAATTATTTAAAAAAATTTTTGTTAAAATTTTTTGGAAGAATTCAATATTATTTACAAAAATATTAGAATTTTTCTCAGAAATTCAATTATTTTCAAATATTTCAATAAAATTGTTAATTATTTACATATGTCGAACAAAATAACATTATTCCCAAAAATTTAATTATTTTGAGGCATTTTAATAAAATTCTTTGCAAAATTCAATTATTTTCATAAATAACAATATTCACCAAAAGAATTGAATTGTTTTTAAAAGTAATTAATTTCTTCTTTGAAATTTCAATTATTTAAAAAAATTTTAATAAAATTGTTCTCAAGAATTCAATTATTATTTTCATAAATAATAAAATGCTTTTTAGGAATTCAATTATATTTTCAAAAAATTTAATTATTTTTAAAAACTTTTTGCAATTTAATGATTTTCAATATCTACTATTTTCAAAAAATTTCCAAATATAATTCAATTATTTAAAAAAATTTTTGTTAAAAATCTTTGTAAGAATTCAATTCTTTTCATGAATAATAAAAGATTCTTAGGAATTCAATTATTTAAATTATAGAATTTCCATAAAATTAGTCGAAAGAAATTAATTAATTAAATATTTTTATAAAATTTTAAATTCTTCGCAAGAATTAAATTATTTTTATAAATATTTAAATTCTTTCATGAACAATAAAATACGTTGCAGGTCAATTTAATTTATCATCCGGATAAGAAAGAAAGAAATATTTTTGATGAGAATTAGGAAAAAGTCAGGAAAATAAAATGTAGAATGGAATTTTTGTCAAATTTGTGAAGTGTGTCTAAAACAAGTTTTTTTGGTCGTCAAGTTTAATTTTTCGATAGCTACATTTTCACTACTTTTTTTTTTTAGATTAAAAGCTACTTTTTGCTACTTTTTTAAAATTAACGATCGAGTACGAAGTCTGCTGAAACATCAAAATAATAATTGTTGAGAAATTAAAATTTATCATCCATCCAATGATTCTGTTGTCCTAACAACCGTTAGGTTGTTAGGACAACAGAATCATTGGATGGATGATGAATTTTAATTCATAGTGTATCCGATCTCTAATAAGAGATTATTTACTCCAATTATCTTTGGAGCCAGTAAAATTGCAGCAATACTGACAAAAATTGTGTTTTCGGCAATGCTGCTGCAGCATTCGAATACCGAAACAATGTTTGTGGCAATTTTAGATGTTGTTGGTGAATCTAGCTATTTTTGACTAGATTAGTAGTTAATATGACACGCTCAAAAGTTGATGGATATTTATGGATTATTCATCAACTTTTTCGCGTCATATTACATTCAGATTTTCTATGTATACTTCATCTAAACAATCAGCTATCAATTAAGGAATTCATCTATTCAATAATCCAGTGATTGTCCAAAATTAAAATTCATCAAGCATTTCGAACCTCCAGTGGTTTATTAACTGCACTTACGTCTGTAGCACATGAGATTTCAGCTTTAGTGGAAATATTGTGTTTTCTGCAATATTGTTCCAGTATTATAATACAAAACCAATATTTTCAATGCTGTTGCAACTTTAGGTGCTTCAAGTTTATTCAAACAGTTTTTTAATGTTCAAATATTAGAAACATGTTACCACCCAATGGATTATTTACTAACCCACATTTTCTATAACTGTATCCTAACATCCGTACAATCAGCATTAAGGAATTAATTCATCCAGTAATCCAGTTGTCTTTCCATCTTATTATTCATCAAGATTCTCTAAACTTCAGGAACCATTTACTGCAGATTGCTTGCCAATAAAATTTCAGCAATACGGACTTAATATTGCTGCAACATTAAATTTTGAAGGTAATTAATTTTCTTCTAAGTTTAGATGCTGTTAGTAAATCTCTAGCTCTTAACTCCGAGTTATTCAAATTTTCCACTAAGGTATTGCTATCCTACTTTTTTCCTATTCATATGAAATCAAATGAATCTTAACAGATATGATGAAAATTGCCTTTATTGTTCCATTAAGCCAACTAGCCAGTCATCATAGCATTAAATACATTCAATCATTCATCAGCATTCACCATTAAATTTATATACCATTTATATATACATATTCATATAATAAATGAACTGAAAAGGAAGAATTGATGCGAAGGTGTTAAAAAGTGGGAGTGATTGTCAAAAGATTTTGAAAGAAAAGGGACATTGACTTAAAAGTGTGCGCCTTAAGAGTAATAAATAAAAAAGAGATAAGATGTGTATAGTATTAAAGGAGTAGGAGAGAAAATTGAATGAAAGAAAAAAAAGGCACACACAGATATATGTGTAATAAAGGAGAGAACATTCACTCTCTACAATCGACTTGAACACCTTTTATCCCCTTCTCAATGTTACAGCTTCCTTCAGTTGACGTTCGCCAACGAAGCGTTACGTTGCGTTCATGATACTATTTATTAATCATTTTGAATCTCATGCGGTTCACTTTATTTCTTCAGAAAGTGTCAGTTTGCAAAAAAAACAATCCTTTTTTTCCCACCCCCCTCGTTTTATTAACATTTAATTTAAAAAGAAAAATCATCCTCTCCTACATGAGATTAATTATTATTTCCCGTTAATTGAACCGAAGACAATAATTTATCATTTCAATGACCGCGTATGAATCTTTGTCAATTTCGCCGGTTCCCAAAAATAGTAGTTCGTGACGAAAAGTGAAAGTTTTTTTTTTTCGTCGAGACCATCTTTTTTTCTGTTTCAAAAGAGTCTTTGAAAAAATTTTTTTATTTTTGAAAAGAGCTAAAAATTTTGGAGCACAAAGAAATTTTGCATGATCTAAATGGATTGAAGGTATAATGTTTTTGAGATTTACAAGTCTCTTAAAACATTTTTTCTTATAAAAACAATTTACGTATAGAATTTTAGGAAAAAAAATTTTTCCTTTAATTTTTACATTTGTATTTATTATTTATTTTCCATTTGTGTCAATGAGATTGAAATCTGAAAGTAGAAGAAGGGTTGACAATTAAATTTAATTACTGTTCTTGCTGCTCTATAATGAGACTGATTCATAACAATTATGTCTAATGACATTGCACAGTATAGAGTGTTAAACGAAAATTTTATCTATCAGATTTATAAATTAAGTTTGGATCTGCATTTATATGAAAAAAAAAATTTCTTTATGCGCAATAATATAAATGAATTATGAAAAATGCATAAATAAATTATTTTGATTTTTAATCTCATTTATCGACTTTGTGACATGTATTTGCATCTACTTGAAATTTTAATTTCTTTTTTAAATATATAAAAAAAACTTGATAATTACAGTTTAATCTCAAGCTATAATTAAATATTATTAAAATATATTTTTTTTAACAATTACAAAAGATTGTACACTATCTATAATTATAACGAATTATCAGATAAACTTTTTTATTAGCTGATATTTGCAATTTTAAAATTCATTTTCATTTGAAAAAAAAATAAAAGACTATAATTAACAAAATAAAATTCTTTCATTGTGAATATAAAATTTTAAATAAAATATTTCATTCTTTAAAAACAATTACAATTTTTTTTCAAATTTCAATAAATAATTAAAAATTTAAATAATGAATATATAAGGAATGTAAATTATTAATATAATAAGTTGAATAATTTTTCATTTTATTGGAAATTTTTTGTCAAAAATTTGTAATTTTTTAAAATCAATAATGTCGTGCACGTAATTATCTACTTTGTGAGAAACGTGCACGTGATTGAGATGCAACCTTATTGACACGACGTTTTCTGACATGTTCATTAAAAAAATAATATTCTTAAAAATTCGAACATTATAAATAGAAATTTTTTCTATTCAATTTTATAAAAATTATAGAACCATGAAAATTAGAAAATAATAAATAAATTACAAATCGGTAGATAATAAAAAGAATTGTTTTAAAATCGAAACTGAATTTTTTTTTACATTTTTTAAAATTAAAAAATAAAATTAAAACAGTTAGAAGCTAAATTTTCATTAAAATTTAAATAAATTTGTTTTTTTTTATTTAAAGAAATTTTTTTTTAGACTAGAATTAAGGAAACCTATAAAATAGAATCAATAAATTTTCTTATTTAAATTTAATAATTCGTTTTCTTTTTATTCAAAAATAAATTTTTTTTTTGACTATAAAATTAGAAATAATTAAATTAAAATTCATTTATTTTCATTCCAATAAATGGGTTACAAATTCAGTTTTAATTTTTTGTGATTTTTTTTTCAAAAGTTGAAGAAAATGTGATATTTTTTTCAAGACTTTTTCCTTGTGGAAATTTCTGTTATATTTTTAACTTTTAAGTTTAAAAAAAGGGGGAAAAAAATTGTATTTAAAATAATTTTTTTCCGATCGATTTGCCTTACGTGACAAGTTATGCGGCCTCATTAATGAAAAAAGGCCTTCTTTTTTCAGTGAAAGTTCCACGGCCTGCACTGCTTTTTAACATTATCGAATTTCCCTTTTAGATTTATATATATAAACAGCAAACTCCATTTTGCAAAAAAAAAAAAAAAAATACAATCAGTTAACACTTTTTTTGTAAATCGGCAAATTAACTATATATCGATCGCGAAAAAATGGAAAAAATATCTAAGAAAATTGTGGAAAAAATTTTTTAAAAAAATTTGTTTTCATAGAATTTTTTTTTTTTAAATAAAAAAAAAATAACAAAAGATTCTAAAAGAGCGTAAAATCCTGTGCAAATATTTCTCTACAATCAATTAACTTTGTCATGTGACATCTTGTAATTTTTTTTAATTTTTTCGAATATTGATGAGAGTAAATATAATATTATGAAATTCAAACTATTGAGTAAAAATGAATTATAAATTCTAGTGAAAATTACGAAAAAAAACATTCTCTAAGCAATTTATGATTTTATTGTTAGAAAATTATAAAAAAAAATTTGTTTTTTTTATATTTTTATAGAAAAATTTATTTTTAAACTTAAAATAATTGTTGCAATTTTATTTACATAATTTATTTTTATTATACTTTGGTTTATTAATTAAGAGAATTTTCATTTATTTCAAGCACCAGTTTTGTTATTTAAAATTCAGACTTAAAAAAAAAAAAAAAAAAAAAAAAAAAAAAAAATTACCTCACGTATTGACAGAAAGAATCTTTGTGTGACTTTCATTAGTATTATGATTGGCTTCAAAATAACTTCAGAAATCTTAAGCAGATTCTTATTACCTCCTCTCTTGATCGAACGTAGAAAGGAAGAAAGTAAACCTTCTCATAATGACGTGAAAAAAGAAAAAGAAAAAAAAGAAGAAAAAACCAGTTTTAAACTCCTTAAATCTTATAAATTAGTTTAATTCATCATAATTTAGTGACATTATTTTACGATTATTGTCATTAAAATATTTTCCTTTACATTTTATATACAGCACTTTATCCAAAAGAAATAAAAAATATTCCTCTGAAATCATGCAATTAATAAAGATTTATAAATATTGTTGTTTGAATTATTTTTTCGTTATTATGGTTAAACAAAGTAAATTAAAAAAAATTCTTTTTTCTTTTTTTTTGCAGATTTTCAACAAGTGATTCACAACTTTCTCAAAAACGGAAAGGAAAAGTAATTGTAATTATTATAATTACATTATTCTAATTACATTATTAAAATCATGTAATTAAAGTACAAGTGCAATTAAATGTGACAAATTTACAAATAGTTATTATTTTTGAAATATGGGGAATCCCCTCGTGAAATAATTTTCTTAAAACTTGAGAGAAACAAAAAGTGAAAAAAAAAGATTTATATAAATGCTAATTCAGTCATTAACTGAATGGAGAATTTATGATTTGAGAAAAATAGAGACAATAAAATACGGAATTTATTTTGTAAGAATGTATTTTAAAAATAACGTTCTTATTTGAATTATCTAAATATAAATTGGTTTTTGGATGTAGAAAATGGCACTGGCCAATTTCTCATTACCTTATGCAACCCCAACTCCATTCTTATATTCAGGTAATGAGGGACAGTCGGTCATAAATAATTTACGATTCAATGCTGCTTTACCATCCCAATCTGTACCCCCATTAGATAATGTCAGACAATATCGGAATGATCCTTACAGTCGATACCAGCAATCGTCTCAACATCATCAACAGCAGCAGCAACAGCAACAACAACAGCAACAACAACAACGTTTTCGATATCTTCCACAATCTCGAGAACAAGAGACATTTACAGGCACTTCATCAAGAAATTACTCACCTGAGAATACAAGATATTCAGAGTATGATGATAATTATAGAAAATCTCAGGAACAGCAAGTTCAACGAAAGACACAACCAGTGAGTTATTATCAACAGCAACAAAAGCAGCAGGATTCGCAATATCAGCAACAAAATCGTCAATATCAGCAGCAGAAAAATCAACAACTTTATCGTAATCAAGAAAAACAACGGAATAACCAACAACAACAACAACAGCAACAGCAGAAGAATCAGCAAGGTTATCTTCCAGGACTGCAAGAAAATCAACAACAGCAGCAGCAGCAGCAGCAGCAACAACAACAACAACAACAACAAAATCAGCAGCATTATCAGCATCAAGAGCAGCAGCAGTATGGACAACAACAGCAGCATCAACAACCACAACAACAGCAGCAGCAACATCATCAAAATCATTATCAACAACAGGATCAATATCGACAGCATCAAGAGAGACAGCAAATTAATCTTCAACAAAGAATTTCCTTTCAATCTGCGAAGGATCAAGTGACAAATTCTAGTGATACATCTCAGGACTATCCCGAAAGACCGAATGGGTGAGTTTTTTTAAAAATAATTTTGCAGTAAATTTCAATTTTTATTTTCAAGAACACAGAACGCAGATTTACGAAATAGTTTCGAATTCATTGGCTATATAATCGAAAATATAGTTATAATTAATTACGGATCGCAAAAACCTATCCGGATTTAATTCTCATTTTTAGTCCCAAATTTTGAGCTTTCCATTCTATGAGTTAGACATACTTTATTCACGGAAAAAAATATTCATCTGGAACAGGTACAAATTTATCACTAGATTAGCCAAATTTTTAGTTGTTTCAGTTAAAACTTTCCCTATTTTAGGGAAACTTATCGCTGTTCCAGGTATATTCATTTTTGCGAGATTAAAAAAAACCGCATTTGGGTTTTTCCTATACTTTTGAGTATCCACTTTCAGAATCTAAAATAGGGTTGCCACAGGTCAGAAAAGTCGGGGAATTCAGGGAAAAGTCGCAGGGACATTAGAATTAGTCAGAGAAATCAGGGAAAAGGGATTTTTATTAATAAGATACTGGAAAAAATTAAATTTTTAGAATTTATAAGAAAATTCTGAATTTTTGTGACTTTTTTGTTTGCCTTATAAACTAGGAAATTACCACGAATATTCTAAACAAAACCTTCAATTTTTCCATTTCTGACATTAATTTATTTTCAATAACTTAATTCTTGAAGAACTATATCATAAAATTATTACTTATAAATTATTTAATGAATAATATTACTTAAAAATTTCAAAATTAATTGAATTTCAAAAGAATTGCGTGCTTAAAATCTTCGTATAAATAGATGAACTTAGGTTTCAATTTGAATTTTTAGAAAATTTCAATTTTTAATGAATTTAAATAGAAATTTTAACAATCACTGATTACAGAAATTCAATTATTTACAAAAGTGATAAATTTCTTTTCAAAAAATTAATTATGTACAAAAATATAAAAAAAATTTCAATTATATCTTTATAAATACTCAAATTCTTCTCCGAAATTCAATTATTTTCGTAAAAAAATTTAATAAAATTTCAATTATTTTCAAAAAATTTCCTCATTTCAATTATTATTTTTAATATCTACTATTTTAAAAAAATTTTCCAAAAGAATTAAATTATTTAAACAAAATTTTAATAAAAATTTCAAAGGAATTCAATTACTTACATATATACTAATTTTTTTTATAAATTACTTCTTAAGAATTGAATTATTTCCATAAATAATATATTTTTTATGGGAATTATTTTCATAAATAATAAAATTATTCTCGAGAATTCAATTATTTAAAAAAAAATTTATAATAAATATTTAAATACATCATAGAATACAATTATTTTTGTAAAAATATATAACATTCTTTCTAGGAATACAATAATTATTGTCAAAAATGTTTATAAAATTCAACGAAACAATTCAATTCTTTTGGTAAAAAATAAAATTTTTCGAATCAATTCAATTATTTAAAAAATTTTAATAAAATTCTTGCCAGGAATTCAATTCTTTTCAGAAATAAAATTTTTCACAGAAATTCAATTATTTAAAAAGAAATTTAATAAAATTCTTCGTCAGATTTCAAATTATTTTCAATCTTTTAATGAAATTTCTCGATGGAATTTAATTATTTTCAAAATGTTTTTAAAAATTCTGAGAAATCCAATTATTTAAGAAATTTTAATAAAATTCTTCCAAAAAATTAAATTCTTTTCAAAAATAAAATTTTTCACAGAAATTCAATTATTTAAAAAAAATGTAATAAAATTCTTCGTCAGATTTCAATTATTTTCAATTTTTTAATGAAATTTCTCAATAAAATTTCATTATTTTCAAAAAGTTTTTAAAAATTCTGAGAAATTCAATTATTTAAAAAAAATTCATCATAGAATACAATTATTTTCTTAAAAATATAACATTCTTTTTAGGAATACAATTATTGTCAAAAATGTTTATAAAATCCTTCGAAACAATTCAATTATTTTTGTAAATAATAAAATTCTTCGAAGCAATTCAATTATTTAAGAAATTTAAATAAAATTCTTCCCAAGAATTCAATTCTTTTCAATAATAAAATTTTTCACAGAAATTCAATTATTTAAAAAAAAATTTAATAAAATTCTTCGTCAGATTTCAATTATTTTTAATTTTTTAATGAAATGTCTCCTTGGATTTTAATAATTTTAATTATATTTTCAAAAAGTTTATAAAAACTCTGAGAAATTCAATTATTTAAAAAAATTTGAATAAAATTCTTCACAAGAAATTAATTATTTTCATAAATAAATAATATTTTTCTCCGGAATTCAATTTTTTTTACAAATAAAATTCTTTACAGGAATTCAATTCTTTGTAAAAAATGCTTAATAAAATTCGTTGCAAGAATTCAATTATTTTTAAATTTTTTTATAAAATTCTTCTTAAAAATTCAACTTTAAGAAATATTCAATTATTTAATAAATTATTTATTTTTGTATTTAATTAATTATTGAATTCTCGAAAAAATTTTTAATAAAAATTGATTAAAAAATGAATTTTACTTAAAATTTTAAATTATAATTGAATATTGAAAGCATTATAGTGTAAATTTTTGGAAATAATTGAATTTTCAAAAGGGTTCAAATTCAATATTTTGAATATTTTCAAGGGTATATTTCCGAAAATTCAAATATACATACAAGAAATCAGTGAAAGCTCAGGGAAATAAAAAATAAATTTTTTGAGATAGTACTGAATTAAATAAATAATTTTTTCGACGCTTTGTTTTATATTTTCAATCGACTGAAGCGACTTGTTTTGCCCCTTAAAGTTGATCCAAGGCCTGTATTACAAGAAAAAATGTTGACATCTGAAGTTATTTAATAATATTATTAATAATTTATTTTAAAAAATTAGAAACTATGAACCAAAAGTGGTAGAAAAAAAATTCTTTTTCAGCAATTTTTTTTGCAATCAAAATGAATATTTAAAGTACAGAAACAATGTCGAAAAATGATTATTAGAATTAATAAGAATTGAAAAAAAATTAATAATCTTAAAAGCAAAAAATAATAATACGATAAATAATAATAAAAAAAAAAACCAGGAAGAATTTCAGTTGCACTCGCAGAACATTGACCCAATGATGGAATGGTGATAATGTAAATGTTGAGACTCATTTGAAGACCTTGATTATATGCGGCAACAGGTAGCTTCTCTTGTGACCTCAACAACATAGAACCACTCCTTTTTCGAAATATTTTCATCACTCACTTTACCTGTACAGAATAAAAAGAAAGATTTATAAATTTTTGACAATTTCTTTTCCGCCATTACTATATTGGACTTATTTTAAAATTCTAAACTGAAGAATAGAAATTCTAAAATTAAATTCTTCTCATCATTAATATAGAAGATAAATTAAAAAAAAAAATTATTATTTTCGAATATTAAAAATTAATCTTTCTCTTTATACCCATTTACGTGGAAGTATAGGTATAAAAAAAATAAAAATTGAAAAAATACGATTTTATAAAATTTCCTTCCGTAAAATGCAAAAAAATAAAAATCGTGATAATTATTTTAAACAGGAAAAGAAATAATTTCTATTTTTACCAGAAAAGGAAAATATTTTTTGGTAACAGTTCTTATAAGAATTTGAATTTAATACTGAAGCATAGAATGCAAGGCCAATTTTTTTTTCCTCAATTCTTTCCCATTTGTCATTATTCATGGCAAAAATATCTTTTTTTTACATTTTGAACATAATTCAAGAGTCATAGTTTAATTTATTATTCAACTCTCCTGAAAAATATTTTTAAAAAAAATTAATTTCATCCGAAAGGACAAAAAATTTTTTATTCAAAATTCATGAATGGTTTTTTTTTCTAATATATCCATATAAGAAGAAAATTCTCAATTTTCGATTATCATTTTTTATTGTTGCAAATTGAAAATAATTTCTACCTTCAGAAAATGACAAAAAATCTTATTCTATAAATTAAAAATTAAAGAAAAAAATAAATTTCAATATGTTTATAATTATAAAGAATTTATCGTGAATTCGAGAAAAAAACTAAAATCCTTTTTTTCCATCTTTAAGCCTCTGGTCTTGCATTAATATTTTATCTGGCGCCTCGAAGTCATGGTCAGAATTTCAAAGAGAAAAAAAAAAGAAATTTATTAATCCTCTCCTTTTCTTTTTTTTTTCTTGAAAAATTAAACCTCTCTTTGATTCCTTAATACTGGTATTATTTAATTATTATAATTATGTATTATAATTACATTTTAAGTAACTATTTAATTAATTAATTAATTAATTAATTAATATTTAATTAATTATAAATTATAATTAATTCATAAAATAATTTCAATTTGTTAAAAATATTTTCGGAAATACAATAAGTTTCAATTTTTTAAAATCATTTTCAGGAATTCAAGTAAAAAAAAATTTTAATTATTATTTTTCAAAAACCTAATTTTTTTTCAGAATTTTGAAAGTAAATATGTTTCAAATTTTTAATTATTTTTGTAAAATAAATATTTAAATATATTTATTGTTCTTTATTTGCTTAAAATATCAAAATACTTTCAATGTAAAACCATTTGGAAAATTTTTTTATGAAAATTTCAACTGCAAGTCTTCAAAAATTTACATAATAATATTTAAATCAGGCCAAACTTTTCATTTTTTAGGAAGCTGACAAATGAATAATTTTTTACAATTAAATATTGTTAAACTTATACAGCAATTAGATTTTTAATGATTGAAATTTAAAAAACTTTTTGAAATTAAATTTTTTCTAGAGAATCCTATACCTTTATAATACTTTTAATTATTTTCTAAAGTTTTAACTAAAATTATTCTTTTTTAAATCAATTCTTAGCAAAATTCAATTATTTAAATATATATACAAAAATAAATAATTCATAGAATAATTAATTATTTTAAAAAATTGCAACTGCGGTACCTCTTTGAGTTTTTGAAATTGGGGTTAAATTTTCTTACTTTATAATAATAATTATTATAATAATTAGTATAATAGGCAATAAAAATAAATTATTACTATTTATAATGTTATATTAATTTTTTAAGGTACACTAGGGTGAATAGTGGATCTTTTACCGGTTCAGGTGCAAAAACGTCGGTTCATGCAGTTCTTGACTACGATGATGATGATTTTGATGATTATTATGATGATGAGAATCACGAAATTCCAAGTAACGCACACGTGACGCCAATTCAAGGACCGATTTTTTTAAAAAATGGCTCAGTACCTGTCGTTCCACTTTATTCATATCCACAATTAAATAATGGAACTTTAGTACAAATACCAGTGAGTAATTTCAATATTATCAAAAATTTACAAATTAATATTTTATATTAACATATTATAATGTAAAATTAACAAAAAATAATAATAATAACAAAAATAAATAAATAATAATAAAATAATAAATATAATAATAATAAATAATAATAATATAATATAATAATAAATAGGGACAAATGATAGTAATAATTATTATAACTATATAATAATAATATATAATTATAAGTGTCGTACATTGAAGAAAGGTATCGAAAAATTTTAGGTTATGTTTGTAATTTCATAAATTAAAATACACGAAAGGATATTCATGAACTACTGATATTTAAGTCTTTATTTTCGATCTAAAATAATTAATAACCTGATTTTTGTTGTAAATCAGATGAAAAAATACTTTTAATTATAAAGTAAAAATAAAAAATGATTTGCTTCTTACCTTTCTTCAGGTGCTAACAATAATAATACATAATTATAATTTTGGTTATATGTACTTTGATTTATACAATTAAAAAGAATGAAAACAATTATTTATGATATTTATGAAGAAAAATTTGAATTTTAAAATATTTTTTGACAAAATTTTACAAATATAAGATATCCGGAAGTATAATAGGGGAATATTTAAAAATACTTTCAAACGGTTTTTAAGTCAAAAATTTATACCAACTCATGACGTACAGATATTTACTCGTACATGATGTAAATTCTTTTAAGAGGAGAAAGGCTGTGCTCTTTTTCTTATTTAAACTACTTTTGCTCTCGTTTCTTAAATACAAAATTTTTAAAATTAAATAAACAAAAAGGAATTTTTATTTTTTAAAGAAGAAAATATTAGAAATAATAGAATAATAATTTTCTTTTTAGAAATTAAAAAAAAACTCACATTTTTGAAACAAAAAAATATATTTTTTCTTATAATCGACTTTTTAAAATTTTTAAATCGAATTAAATTTTATCTAAAAATGCTCACTATTCCAAAACAATGGATCGCATATATATATAATATGCGGCATTGAGATAGTAACCTTTTGAACTCTCTTTTGTGGACAAGCAGTAAATTTCACTTGAATGTCTCGATGACCTTGTTAACATCACCTCAAAGAGAATGTGTTTGAGCATTGAACAAATAGATCAGAACTTAGATTAAGGAAATAAATTCATTTTTAAATTTTTTATTGTTTTCTTTTTATATTACTATAGCAACAATTCGCGCGCTAAACCGCGCGGCTAACTTCTTACTATACCTTTTTTTAAAAATAAAATTAGCAATTTTAAAAATAGAATTTAAAAATTTTCTAATTTAAATGTTTGTTAAAAACAATTCAATTTTGGAGAAATTACAAATAATTGCAGAAATTCAATTATTTAAAAAAATTAAATTAAATTAAAATTAAATTATTCTTATAAAATTCAACTATATACAAAATTTGAAAAAAAATTTCGTAAAAATCCCAATTATCTTTATAATTAACAAAATTCTTCTCCAAAGTTCAATTATTTTTATAAATATCAAAAAAAATCTTGTCCTAATTTCAATCTACTATTTTAATAAAATTTCCCAAAAAGAATTCAATTAATTAAGGGCATTTGAACCATTATGACGTCATAGGTTTTGCAAAGCATATGTGTTTTAAGGCTGTGACGTCATCATGGTTCAAATGCCCTTAAAAAAATTTTAATAAAATTGTATGCAAACATTCAATTATTTTCATATAAATAATAAATTTTTTTTAAGGCGAATTCAATTATTATTTTCATAAAAAATATAATTTAAAATTCTAGAAAATAATAATTGAATTAAAATGATGAAAATAATTTCCAAGAAGTTAGAATAACAATATTTTTATATAAAATAATAATTTTATCTCTGCGAGTTATTAATTAAATAAAATTAAATTCTTTTGAAGAATTTCTTTGAATTTTTTTTAAACTAATGGAGTTTCTTTAATAATTTTCATTGAAAATTTTGAAAGCAATTGAATTTTATGAAGAAGAATTTTATTAAAAGTGAATTGAAAATATTATGTAATTGAATTTTTGCGAAGAATTTTACTATTTATAAAAATAATTGAATTGTTCCGAAGAATTTATTAAAATTTTAGAAAATAAATGCGAATTTTATGTTAATATTTGAAAATAAAAATTGTTTTGAACAGAATTGAATTACTGCAAAAAATTTTACTATTTATAAAAATAATTGAATTATTGCGAAGAATTTTACTATTTATAGAAATAATTAAAATGTTTCGAAGAATTTATTAAAATTTTAAGAAATAATTAAATTGTTATGAAAAATTTTATAAAAATATTTGAAAATAATAAAATTTTTTCGAGAAATCCAATTAAAATTGTTTCGAAAATAATTGAATTTCTTTAAAGAATTTTATTATAAAATTGAGTATATTCAAAATAATTGAATTCATCACAAGAATTTTATTATTTTTTTTGAAAATAATTGAATTCTTTCAATTTTTTTGACGAATATATTTAAAAATTGCATTGAAAGTAATTTAATTTTTATATAGAATTTTTTAAAAATATTTTTTGAAAATAATTGAATTATTTTTAGAGAATTTTAAATTCTTGTTGAATTTGAATTTTATGGAAATTTTTAAAAATAATTAAATTCTTTCGTGTAATTTTATTCAAATTGGATTAATAATTATTTAATTCCTGCGAAGAATTTTAGTATTTTTAAAAACAGTTGAATTGTTTCGAAGAATTTATTAAAATTTTAGGAAATAATTGAAATTTATGAAAATATTTAAAAAATATTCGAATTTATCTGAGGAATTCAATTAAAATTGTTTTGAAAATAATTGAATTGCTTCAAAGGATTTTACTAGTTATAAAAATAATTGAATTATTGCGAAGAATTTTTACTATATTTATAAAAATAATTAAAATGCTTCGAAGAATTTATTAAAATTTTAAGAAATAATTAAATTGTTATGAACAATTTTATAGAAATATTTGAAAATAATGAAATTTTTTCGAGAAATTCAATTAAAGTTTTTTAAAAAATAATGGAATTTCTTTAAAGAATTTTATTAACATTAAGTATATTCAAAATAATTAAATTCATTTTATTTAAATTCTATTAAAAATAATTTAACTCCTGCAAAGAACTTTTGCATAATTATAAAATTAATTGAATTCTGTTAAAGAATTTTACTACTTAAAAAAATAATTGAATTGTTTAGAAGGATTTATTAAAATTTTAGAAAATAATTGAATTCTTTCGTGAAATTTAAAAAAAAAATTTGAAAATATGAACAGTAATAATTAATTTTGTACTTAATAAGTAAATTTTTTAAATTTTGATTATGAAATTATTTAAAAGAATTATGTTTAAAAACAAAAGTATAAAAACAAAAGACAACTTCAGAGTCTGAGGGACAGAAAAAGTGAATGAATGAAAGAACATTGAAATTATTATATAGTTAGTTCTTAATTTCATTGCTTGTTAATTTTTATCTCAGAGATTTAATTACTTCGTGATTTTTAAATTTAAAAATGAGAAATATTTGCAAAGAAAAACAATGAATTGTAGACCCGTGGTTAGAGTACTTGACACAAAATAAAAAATAAAGTAGGGTTCGATTCCTTTCGCCGGTGAATTTTTTTTCAAACTTGAAAAAAGAAATTGAAACAAGTTTATTAATTCTTCAAATGAAAATAATAAATACAGAACAAATATAATTTAGAAAAAAAGTATTAATTCTAAGCTAATAACCTTTTTTTCAAATACTTCGTAAAACTTTTTTTTTATTTTTTCAGATTGTAAAAAATTACGTCATCCTTTCCATAAAATGCAAATTGATGTAATAAAATATATCCCTAGTTCTTTTTTTCCCTTTTCAATGAAGTTAGAAAATATTATGATACATATGTAAAAAGACATTAAAATTATTTTATTCTCAAAGAATTAAAAAAAAATTAAACTAATGATCTATTACCATTTCACAATGTATACCATTTTTTTTTCTTTGTAATTTTGCTCGGCAATCAAATGTCAATGGCACATTTTTTAACTTAGAAATAAGCATTAAAGTGAAAGGATTCGTCATATAAATTGACATTGAACTGATTTTGTTTGATCTCTAAAATAAAGTATATTTTTGTCGCATCATTATGCGGTTTCAAATACTAAATATTTGAAAAAAAAATAAATACCTAAATAATTTTTTTAATATGAAAAATTTATTTTTATCCATTTCTACAAAATTAAATAATTAATAAGAAAAACAGTTACTGAATTATTGAATAAAATATTTATTACAAATTTATAGTGTGTAAAAATTGAAAAATAAAATTTATGTTTGGCAATTTTTTTTCCAAACAAGAGTATAATAAAAAAAATTTCTACATTTAAGGGAACAAATTAAATGAAACATAAATTACAATTATACATTAAGACACTTATTTCCTGGGTTATAAATTTTCGATGAGACTCGTTATGTGAAAATAAGAATTAAACTTTAGTTAAAAAGAAGTTATATTTCTTTTTTGTCGATGGACCTGCTTAAATTGCACGAAATGGCCCATTAAATCACAGCCCAGGCGTTTATAATCAATTACATGCCTTGCTTGCGTACACAATGGAAATAAAATTAAAAAAAATTTTTTTTTGCCACATGGGAAACATTGTAGAGTATTTAGTAGTATTTCAAAAATTTTCAACGGAACAGATAATCAAAATGAGAATAATATAAAATTATACTGAGAAGTAAAAGTGTATTTATTTCACTCTAAAGTGGAAGGAATTCAGTGTTATTTGCACAATATCTTGTCATTATGAAGAGAAGGATATAATAAAATCAGAAAATGATAGTAATCATTTATGATGAGACGAGATATTGAGCTTTTTTTTTCATTATTACTGTCATTATAAACAATTAGCTAAATTAACTTTCAATATGTTTTACCAAAAAATGTACAATTAGTTTCGAAAAAAAATTTATTACACTCACCTTTTTATTAGGGGAGAATTTTTATTTCCCTTT